CACTGCGCGTGACATGACATTTTGCGCAACATTGCTTTTGTTGGTCAGGTGTGCCGTGCAGATGCTGCTAGCGAAATGTGATGTCTGTCAGCATGCTGCCTTGCCGATACAGCGTGTGACATATGAGTGACTTTCATCCTTTTGAGTGGCCATGATGTACAATACACTGTGAACCGTGGTAGTTTCACAACTCTGGGTGGTCCTACTGATGCTTGTGAGTTTTGCTTTTGAGTGTTGCTGTTGTTTTGCTTGTTTTGTGCACTCTTGCACGTTCGCATGGATCATGTACATAATGGTTTCACTTTTGTTCTGATCGTGACACACGATCGTTCGAGGACTCGTCTCTCTCCCTTGCGTCAGGTGGAGCATACGGTCGAGCCCCCAAGGGTCGTGCTGGTCACTGCCCACCACCTTGTTGTCCAGGCGGATGTGGCTCGGGTGCAGACGCGCGAAGTCCTTGACGAACGGCTGCACCTCGTTCCCGCGCCCCATAGCGCCCCCTTATCTCGGAACCGAGTGCCAGGAGCCGCTGCAGACCGCCCGAACTGGCAGTTCGCTTGCACCGCTCGGTCACCTGCAGCATGGCGCCATTGTGCGCGGCGGCGCACGGTTCGGTAGAGCGGCGACACGAGGGTCGCATGGCAGCCCAATGCTCCTCCCATAGGCGTTGCTGCGTAAACAACCAGGTCGAGGCAGTGTCTGTCTTCCGGGGCAACGCTTGGAACAGTGGACTTCCGGATCGTCAGCTCCAACGGCTTTGTGTGCGACCCTCACCCATGCCCGTTCGAAAACCCTTGCTTGCCGAGCCAAAAGGCTCAGTGCGAGGGCAGGGCAAGGCATGGCATGCAGACGGCGGCGCAAGGCGAGCTGCCATCTGCTCACGGCGGCCGTGTGGTGGCAGGCTTCGCTGAAATGGCTGTTGACGAGGCCCCCGCATGCGGCCGAGAACGCACGAGCTCACAGGCGCTTGGTGGCAAGGCTGGTAGCGGCGCGCGCTCGCGGAGTGACGGTTGCGAGTTTACGACGCACTGTGCTGCCAGCCATGCGGCTCCGTTGCGTTCGACTGAACGGGTGACTTTTCCAATCTTGTCCTGTTCAGCACCTTTTGGAGATGCAATGACGAATCCCGCACGAGCATGAGTCCTTGCAAGAGGACTGCAGTGCGGACTCCGCCTGACCGCCAAGGCAGCCTGCATGGTCCGCTGGACGGCGTCGTCATGGGACTGGGCATAGCCTGCTGTGGCGGTGCGCGCGTAGCGAGGACAATATGGAAAGACCACGCGCGCTGTAGGTCTGGGAAACGCGGCAGTCGGCTCAGTAGCTGTTGCTCGGTGCGCATCCGACTTTCCGCCCATGATGATACCACCAAGCCTCGCTCGGCGGGCTGATCGAGGCGAAAGGCGCTGGAGCTAGCGGGTCGGCTTAGACCGCGGCAGCGCCGCGACTCGTCCCACAACAGTACATGGAAGGACGACCATAGAGAAGCGTCGGGTGGGCCGGACTTCAGCGCCGTCAGGAATAAAAATTGTGGCGCCCGCTCAATGCGCTGCCACCTCTGGGGTCTTGGCATTGCGCATTGTGCCGCTTGAGCACGCCTTCGGCGGCCCAGTGATACGTGTTGCGCGCAAGACAGGCACTGTCATGTCCTTGTTGCCTACGAGTGGTGCCAACAATGTCTTCCTCCACGACATGAACCTGGATGTACCGCTGGCGGATGCCCGCCGCGTCGAGGTACTGGCAAACAGCCCTCTCCACCAGGGAGCGCAGGTCGCGGTTGACACGGGACGGCACGGCTCGAGCGAGGGCAGGTCGCGAGCCAGGCGCGGCCGCTTCCGACGCGGCTAGGCGGAAGCGCCAAGACACCTACCCGGAGCTCTCGGCGGCCCGCCGCTGCAAGCTGGTTGTCGTTGGGCTGCAGGTGGGCGGGAGGCTTTCGGCGGTCCCCCGCCTCCTCGCCGATGCCCGCGCCCGTGCGGCCCCGACGCGCTTGCGACCCGCCACGCGCCAAGCTGGCGTCCACAGAAGGACGGGTCTGTTGGCGGTGGCGGCGCAGCGCGCGTACGCCTCGTCATTCCTTGAGCTCCCCCTTGTAAACGCGGAGCAGGGCGATGGCGACATGCCTCCCTTGGGAGACCTCTTGGCGCAGGCTCGCGAGGCTGCGCAGGTCACCGACAGCCGCCTCCCCGCGGCCTAGGAGAACGCAGGAGCCCCGACCTGGACACCCCCCGGCGGCGGTCGCACAAAGACGTGAGGAAAAACAAATCGGGCATCCAACCCGGACGGTCTGTCGAAGCCGCCCGCCTCCAGACCAGACAGGTTTGCAGAAAGAAATGCCAGGGGAACAAATGCATACTGAAACAATCCGGAATGCATCTAGCAAGCGTGGACTTTCGGTTGGCACGGGTTCAAAAGCAATAGTTCACAACATGCATTGTCAAATGGTGCCAAGTGCAGCCACAGACAATTCCAGATCTAGGTCTCTCGCATAGTTCGAGGTGTCAGGCACGCTTAGACCCGTCACTTCGAACATTGACCATGTTTTGCGTGATCGTGCATGTGAAGCCTTGCACTTTGGAGTTTACCCCCGTTAGCCTGGAAGCCCATGTCAAAAACAAACTGGCAAAAACGCATGATCAGCGAACTTTCAACATGAACATCGGCCTAGGAAACATTAATACAAGAGCATGGCTTTACTGAATGTCGCTGCTTCTGCTTGCGCGGCAACATCCACCTCCACACCTCCGAAGCTTGTGAGGGGCTTGCTGGCCAGTTGGCGGCAAATGCTGCAGGGATGGTAAGATAAGAATACCCTTGAACACGTACCGCAAGATCCGTGAACTTACATGAGTCGTTGCCAGCTCAATCTCAACAAACACAACTGGTTTCCTAACTTCGGAAAGCACTTCTACCTTTTTTGTCAACCAACACGCGTCACAAGGATGCTCGGGAGCGCAAGTTCTGGTTCCGTGACGAGGCTTCTTGGGCTTTTGCAGGCTGGCACTTGAGTGTCTCGCAAAGAGTTTGGATTGAGTTTGCTTGAAGGGCTGATTTTGAAACGTGAAACTTTGCCGTTGAATCTGCAACATGTCGAGCCCACGACGAAACGTCTTTCGTATCAGCGGGAGCATTCTGAACCTCCTTTTTTGCACAGTCGATGTTTGAAGCATTTCGGAGGATATTGCTGCCTGAAATGCGGGGCCAGGTGCGAGTGCGCTAAGCTGCGCTGGAGCCCTTCATGAGCGGCAGAAGAGGAAACACGCGAAGGCTGTGAGCGGGGTGGGGGGGGGGGGGTGTAAGCCTTACAAGGGAAGGGGGGCTTGTTGTGTGAAGCTCTAAGCCCTTGGCCAGGTGAGATAGCGTGCTTGTAGAGTTATCATGGCTGACCATGCTTGTCGAACATAAAGCAAGAACAAAGCAGTCTATGACATGTGGAAGGACGGAGACCATGTCTGCGTGCGAGTGTGAGAGTCGAAGCTTTAATATTTTGATTGAAGCGAAGTGAATGCGTGAGCTCACGAAATTAAGTTACTTCTCTCATGATCAAGATACTATATCGTAAGGTCATGAAATGTCATGAACGAAGCGCATGTAGTAAGTAGCATCCAGTTTATAAGACTGCAGGTCTGAACATCCGCGACTGTTAAAAGACACCGGGAAAAAGACACCGACACACGTGGCATATTTAGCCAATGGATGAAGCAGACAATCCGAGGCAAAGATAGGGACCAAAGCCGGGAATGTCACGAGCAAACAGAAACAAGTTAGTTATAACCCACTGCTTTGCCCTTTACATCCCCTAAACCTTAAGCCCTAAACCCCAAACCCTAAACCCTAAACTCTAAACCCCTCAACCCTAAACCCCCTCCGGATTGCCGGGGCATGCTACCAGCTTAAAGCCCCGAAGCCTAAATCCTGCGAGGCCCCTCGTGCGGTGACGACGTGGGAGCCGCTGCCATCTCCTTTCCCGCTTGGAGCTTTCGAGGCTCTCGGCAGAGGGTCCAAAGGTTGAGCAGCTTAAGTGTTGAGGATTTGCAGGTTTGCATGTCAGGGTGTTGGGGAGAACGTGCGTGAAGCGCAGCAGTGAGATAGGGAGTTGATATATCGCAAAGCGGCGCAGTATGCATGGCGCTGCGACAGGTGAATGTCCTCAACCCTAGACCCTGAATGCTGAACCCTGAGCCCTAAACCCTAAACCCTCAACCCTAGACCCTAAAACCTTAGGCACAGAAAAAGAGACCTTAGGCTAAAAGTGGAGCCCTGAGCCACAAACCGTCCCCCAAACAGATCGCCACAGCTCTGGCAGGCGTCGGGGCTTGCCCCATCCGGTCGCTTCCTGTGGTGGGAGCGCACTCGTTGCCAGGTGCTTCCTCTGCTGAGGGGTTTACGTACCGTTCCTGGTTTGCAAGGCTTTCAAGCGCCAAAGGGAGGCTTGCAGGTCGAGAGGTTGCTGATATGTTGGTGCTGCCCTCAGTTCACGTTGGATGGCCTAGGATGTTCATTTCATTGTGAAGCTGATGGCTCTGAAAAACGTTCCTTTGTGAATGTCGGCTAGCTCCATTCCGGTCAACCCTACACGGTGACACGACTACGCAGGCTTCGTGCTAACCACCTAACCTTTTGAAATTTTCATGCAGACTGCCCAGTCATCCGAGACTCCCTTAATAGGCAAACGCCTGGACTTGCCTCCACGCGATTCCAGCATATTGATCGCCTGGGATGAACACCAGATACTCCTCCGGCCATCCCCAGACTTTAGGCTTTGGCGCAACAGGGGCAATGTTTGTTCGGTGATACGGTAAGGCGGCTGAGGTAGGCCGAAGGGCCAGAGGCGCCATGACAAGCTTCCCTGTCCAAGCCGGCTCGAGGCCTGTACCGCGCTGCTGCATAGGGGGACAGACGGTGCTCACAGAAGGATATTTGCAGCTCCAGTAAGATCCAGTAAGATCCAGTAAGCAGCAGACTAGCCTGTGAAAAGAAGCGCCAGAGGGGCTGCTCCTGCCATGTTGGCTCCTTCCGTGGTTTCGCCCTTGGCTCCGGTGCCATCTGCGCCGAAGCCAGGTCTGCAGAATCGCCACGGCAGCGCAGGTGGAGTGGCGGGCATCGTTTGAGAGAGCCGACCAAGTTGACCATGATGCTTGCTTCTACTTTGCCAGACATGGCATGTTGCGGGTTTGGGATGTTAGCCGAGTCTGACATGAATGCCCCGCAGGACATGCCAGCCGCGCTCCCCTCGCCGCCTCATTGGCTCTTTTCGTGGCAACACAGCGGCCGCGGCTGGCGCGGCGGATTGCGAACCTGAGGTGCCACTGTCATGGTTAGTGGTTCTGACTAGCTTCGCCACTTCTCCTGGAGAGATCCCTTTTCTTGCTTTGTCAGGCTTACAGACCCTTTGGCCGGGGTTCCGGAGGCCGCGTGGCCGCTCCTTCAGCGTGCGGAAGAGGCGGGGGGGGGGGGTCCTGATTAGATGTGTATAGGACGGATGTATCGCATGGTTGCTTGTGCTGTTGCGGTGCCGAAGGCTTTGGCAGTTGGCAGTTCAGGGCCGGTATTTCCAATCTTCGTGGTGGGGTTTCGCTTCATGGTTACTTGATGTCCCTCCAAAGGAGTGGGGTCGAAGTGTGAAGTGTGTTGCATGTTTTCCAGTCTGTCCGCTCGACGCTGGAATCATTTCGCCAAGCAACGGGGGCGATTGCCATTGTGAGTGTCGAAACCTTGATGAGAAAACCAGGGCTGCAAGATCATGTAATATGCATTTTGCGCTGTCCATTGCGGCTTGTCTGGGTTGTGCAAGGTTGTGTGAGGCTGCACTGGCTACATGCCCAGAAACCCCTAAACCCTAAACCTCCCTAAGCCCTAAAACCCTAAACCCTAAACTAACCCTAAACCCCAAACCTTAAACCCTGTCGAGCAAAACACCCAGGCGCACCCAGCCTTTGGCTGGCAGCAAATCGCCGATGGTCTGCGAAGCTGGCGTAAGGCCCTGGAAAACGGACAGGTCTGGGAGGAGGCGCCTGCACCCTAAACCCAAAGCTACTGGTACCCTGAAACCTAGAACTCTTGAGAGGATTTCACGAAGCCTCAACCAGAAAACCCCCAAGTCTTCGTCTGCGGGCAGCCTGCGGGTTTCACAACCGCAGAGCATGTGCCACGCCTTTGATGTTTGGAAAACTGCCCAAGTGGCTCCGAAAGACAGAAAACCAACACCGTAGCCCATGTGGGATTGTTCTAAAGGTCCTTTCAAGCTAAGAAAAGAGAGCCCTATTATGAGTTTAGCGACCTGCTTTCTCCTGGCCTGCGGGGTGGGTCGAAAGGGCTGCAGTGTGTTGGTGTTGTGGCCTTGCGTCTAAGCTTCGGAGTTTCCAAGGGAGTCTTTAGTGCAAAGGATGGAGCCACGGCAAGTAGGGGTCAAGAAGGTGGCAGTTGATAGCTAAACGTGATACGCAACACCTCACACCCATACTTGGAGGTTCATGGGTAATTATCAGTACGGCTATAAGTAACCTAAATAGGGTGAAAGCCAAAGTTACCTTACTCATATCCTTACATACAAGTGCACATGAACCTCCAAGTGCCACTCCCTCTTCCCAGGGCGCCGACTGGCCTGACGAGGCCTTGAGGTCGCGATGGGCAGAAACATTAGCAGAGCTCGATCTTCCTCGGCTCACCAAGAGGCACGCAAGAGGGCTTCGGTTCGTAAAAGGCAACGTTTTGGAAATACACAAGTTCTGGCGGGTTCAATAATGGCCATGCCTCGCAGCTCAGATTGTTGCAGATGTCATAGACACCCATGCTAGCAATGAGATGTGTTAAGCCTCGAGTTTATCTTGCAAGGTTTGCTCATACTTGCCTTCCTGCAACAGTGACTCCCCATTCTTGTCAAGTCGGGGGACAGTAGAAGCCCATTTCTGGCAGCGACCCTGATAGGTACCCAGACCTCATCGAGCCGCTGCTGTTTCGGCTTTTGGAGAACCTTGGCGTGATTGATCCTTCAGTCCGCCCGTACCTTGGAGTTGGTTTCCTACGGGTTCAGCTGCGGCTTTTCTCGCAGGATGGTGGTCCAGCTGAGCGAGGCCCTGGCTGCTTCTGCCGAGGGGTCCAAGGCACGCCCGGGCTTTGGTGCACGGATACGTTGTGCAGCCTTGGAGATCTCGCAACCACGCCCTGCAGGCCAAGGGAGGCAGTGACGACACTCCTACGCTGCGTGCCCGGTAAAAAGGAGGGAGGGCAGGAGGTAGGAATCCCGAGTTTCTTTCCAGGGCCCCAATGCAATGGGTGCCGAGGTCGATACCTCAGGGTGAAGGGGGCGACCAGGCCGGCCCGTCAAGTCCTTTTCGGTATTGCTTTGCTCTCTCGTTGCTGCCTGACGGCCGAGCCTTCGAGCTCGGACAAGGTCCTCAGGCGGGGTTCTAATGGGAGTTCTGATGGGAGTCTTTCGGACCGGTTGCAATAGGCGCCTGCGCTCTGCGACCCCCCAAAGCTGCTCCTCACAGCCCCCCCGCTGCCCGGCTGGAACCTGAAGCTCAAGGCCGACGACCTCTCACAGCGTGGTCCACACGGCGGTGCTACGCCACGCCCGGATGCAGAGCCATCGGAGGCCCTCACCCACCGTTGCTGGTGGAATTGCTGGTTTGCAGGGCTTCGAGTAAGAATGCCCAGCAGGCAGGCATGGCCATCAGGTAGAGATTGTTGTTATGCAGAATCCCAGCGTTTCCAGTTCACAGGCTTGAACACGGGCGTTTTGTTGTTTTTTGGTTTCAGGGTTGGGTGAAGGCTTCAAGTCTCCCATGAGGAGCCCTCTCTGGAAGCTCTTGGCGAGCGTCTGGCACAGGAGCCGAGCGATGAGCAACCCTTTTGACTGGGCGTCTCCACAGCTCAGGTTGTTGACAGCACATATATATATATATATATACACATATACATGTTTGTATGGAGAGGAGCCTGCCTTATATATATATATATATATATATACATACAGATAGGAGGCTACCTTGCACGCCGCTCCAGCCGTTTCGGCCCCCCGATCCCTCTTTCCGACCCCTCTCAGATGCAGTTTCGACCACCGCCCGGCCTGGAAGGCTATGGCATGGGGCAGCCTCCGACACCTCTGGGGCCGGGTCAGGAGGGGGCAGAGTTTCTTGGTCGCAAGAGTTCTATGAGGTGCAGCACCTGAAGCGCCCCCACGCCCAATCCAGTCTCAAAAGCCCGAAACCCTGACAACAATCAACTTCTACCCTGACATCCACAGAGCCGAGAAAGCAAAAACAGCCTAAGGCTTGAGGGAGTTCTACCCCATCTACTGGTTCGGCGCCAGTTGCGGGAGAAGGAGACTGAAAGGCGCCCCCGCCACGTTGCCGAAAGGTACGGGCACCTGACGTCAGCAGATGCCGAAGGTACCCAGGCCCCCTCCTTTCTCCGCCTCCATCCCTCCTCCATCACCACCTTACCCGTAGCATTGGGCGCTTGAAGGTGAGCAAGTCGCGGGGCCTAGTGTGATTCACATTGACATGGGTCTGGGATGAGCCGCCCTAACAGCCAACCGCATAGCACCTCGAAGAAGCACCAAAGACCCAAATTCTGCTCGGAACCCGCTGTCGGGACCATGTGGAAAGTACCTATACGGCCTATGTGGCTTTGGGCCCGGATCTTGCTTCAGGGTCGGGCGGCTCCCGATAGCATCCCACCTACACTGCTTAGACGGGCAATGCTTATGCACACTTCGCCACTGCGCCGTCTGGGTGGGTTCGTGGTTTCCTGGACCCGATTGTGGCCAGGAAAGGGGGTGCACTCCTCGAGATGATTCAAACGGCCGAGGGCGCAGAGCCTCAGACTGCAAGCGTCTTCATGAACAGTTCTCGTTGGCTTTGGCGTTGAGCGCGTTGAGTGCCGTCGCTTTTTTTCTTCGCATCTAATATTTTAAAAACTTGCAATCCCACACTGAACCTTTAGACCTTGTCTCAGAAAATCCAATGCGCGTGGGCAAAGGAGCAGGCATTCACGATTGTCAAGAGAGGGCAAAAGACGAAAGGAGTCACCATCCCATCTGGTCTTTGAGTCCATCCTCCAGTTTCCTCAAGAAGTTCGGCGAAGTCGCACGTAAGTTCTGCCTGCTGCGATTGAAAGACCACACCTTGCCTTCTCTCATGATGAGTCTACCCCCTGCAAGTCTGCAAACATGGTGGAAGGCGAAAAGAGTAATTAGCCGATGCAAGATGTTGGACCTTTCGTCACATTTTTACATTTGGCATGCGTGTTTCCTGGCCGGCGGAAGGTTCGTCTCTTGCATTGTTTACACACTTCGTCTTTCGAAGCACACACTTGAGCCCTTAATCCTCCACCCTACATGGTATAAGATGTATAAGAAAGAACAAACCAGGAAGTTCTCGGCCTCACGGCTTCGGCTTTTGCAATCTTCCAAGTGGACCGTTTTGAGCAACCCAGCCAGAACCCTTCAATCCTAAACGGTGACCCCTAAACCCCTAAACCCCCTAAGCCCCTGAACCCCTAAACCCCTGAACCCCTAAACCCAAGGATCGGCTTTGCCAGCAGATGCAGGCCGCCAGCGGGGAAGAGCTGGCAGTGCTCTGGGCGACCTTGGATGCTTGGCCAACACTTGGAGGTTCAGGGTTTAGGGTTTAGGATTTAGGGGTTAGGTTCTAGGGTTGAGGGTATCGGCTTTCGGGCTCAGGGTTTAGGGTTTAGGCCCCAGTAAGAACTGTAAACCCCCCCCCCCCTCCTAGTACTTAAATCCCCCTAGGTCCCCTGAGTAGGTTAACCTTCTAACACCGGTAAGAAATGTACTGATGACCCCCTTGTACTTATAACCCCCCCCACCCCAAGGTCCCCTAAGTAGGTTATTAGGTAGACTTAGAATTGGGGTTATATAAGTACCCATTGAACCTCCAAGCAGGAGTGTGACGGACTTCGGGGTGCTTTAGGGTATTGAGGGCCTGATGACTTTCGATGACTTGTGGTGCACGGTCTTGAGGTCTTCCGACGGACTTTTTTCGGCCTGTGACCTTTGGTGCATGGTTTTGAGGTCCCATGTTGCATGTTGTTTTTACTGTTTCTTGTGGTTCAGGTTCTTGTCGTTGGGGTGCAGGGTTTATGGTTCATGGTGTAGCGGATGCAGCTTGGGGTTCAGGGTTTAACGAAGCCCTCGAGATGCTTGAAGCCTTAAGGGCCTGCAGCAAGCCGAATGCCAAGAGGTGGCGACGACCTTGCCTTGCCTGCCCCAGCTCGCCTGTGATCCCCATGCGTCGACAGCCGCTGGGCTCGTTAAGGCTGCAATAGGTGGATGCTTCTACAACAAGGATCTTGCAAAAGTCACACGGGGTTTCCAAAATTAGGGGTGCCTTATTGCGGTCCTTATTGTAGGGAGTCCGAAACTTGGGGGCTACTATAGGGGTCCCTAATATTTCGTAAACCCCCCATATGAGGCTTATGAGAGGCATGTTTTTGAGGTTGGGATTGCCCAGTCGTCTGGCACACGCTCCCCGGTGCTGAGGTTACTGATGTTGATAAATCTGCTGTATCATAATCATGAGTATCAACATGCACCTTGTGGACGATGGGCCCCTGTTGTTTTGATGTTTACAGTAAGTGCGCTTCTGCGCTGACTGCTTCTGCGCTGAGTGATGTGCTATTTTTACTGTGCGAGTGAGGGAGTCCTGACACGAGTCCAGAAGGCAGCAAAAGCCGAACCGACGGCTGCATCTTCTCTGTCCCTTCGGAGAGACACCCCCAGTCTTAGGTGATCTGTCAGCTCATGGCGCAGCCACTTTTCACCGGCGAGGTGCGGAGCAGGCCAGATATCTCCCAAGCTGTACCTTTCAAGGATACTGCTTGAGTTAAAGCAGCTCGCCCACTGCAAACTCGGTTGTCATATCAAGTATGGGCCCTTACATTGCAAAACGTATACACGGGGTATAAGGGGGCCGATTTAAAGGCCCATACTAAGGGACCATGCAACTACTTGAAGATGAGTTTGTTTGTGTCTGCATTGCGTTGGCAATTTTGGACTCAAAATCCACGGGGACCCCAGACCACTCAAGACCCGCGAGTGCGTGGATTGCCCGTGCTTGGGGGAAGGAGTTGCTGTTTAACATGAAATCGGGATCCTGATGTCTCTAAAGGAGGGGTTAGGGAACGTGGCGCCTCATGTCAAGGAACTGACACGGGTACCGAATTCCCTGTATGACTTACAACTTGCCACAGGCGTCCCTTCAAGTTCAATCAGGTTTTGTGGCTATTTCGTGTTTCGGTAGCCGCAATGCGCCACAGATTGTAAGACCCCTCAACCCTGCACCGGGGAGCGGGCAAAGCTGACCAAAAGCTGCGCTGCAACCCCATAACTGCATAACTTCCTTCAAGACCCCTAAGGCCCCTGCTGAGATTCAAGCCCCAAATGTAGGACTGAAGCGCTGAACCCTGAGTCCCACCCCCCCCTCCCCACCCCCTCACCCCCCACAAAAAATGCCAAAGATCCGAAACCCCACTGCCAGCAGCACACTCCCTTTGGAGGATGCTCCATCGACTTCGCGGGTCCATTTTCAATCTCGTGAGGGACAAGTATGGGTGCCTCACTCTGATTGGAGGTTGGGGTACTTAGAACCCGAGTGATAGCTGTACTTAGGACAGTCCTGTAAAGTAGGTTATAGGTAGACTTATACGTTGGGTGTTACGTAACGTCCAGGTAGGGTTTGCAGCCGCATGTTGCAAGGTTGGGAGTTTCCGGCTCAAGATTGGGAGCCCGTTGCAAAGCCCCCCCTGCACCCCTCCTGAAGTCGCCCCCGCCAAGGTGCTGGATCATCCAGCAAGCCCTGCAGAGAGGAGGCCGGGCTTAGAAGCCATAGTGGTCTAGGAAGCCAAACCTAACCATGGCACATCTTCGCAGTCCGATGGCGCGGATGACACGGACCTTACTCCCCAGGGTCGGGTGAAAGTGATGAAAGCTTGGGGGAAAGCTGCCAGCCCCCTTCGTTTCAGGCCCGGAGATCGTACATGCTCTCGTGACGGAGCTTCGCGGGCGCGTTCTGAATTGCTCCCGGCACATGTACGGAAACTTCGTGCTGCAAAGGCAGGGCCCGGTTTCCGGAGTTTAGGCGTGTTGCCCCAAAAACCCCTAAAGGCTCAAATATCGGATGAGAGTGTTGGGGGGCTCGGACCCCCTGAATCACCCACACATCGAACTGGCAGTCGAAGGCACCGCCTGCAAGTTTATGTGCGGACGATCGCGCGTTTCGGAGCCCCTCAGTTTCAACTCCTCTGCTCCGCTACCTTCAGCATCCTCAACCTTGTATAAGCCCACGCCTGACCCACTCAACGCCCTAGAGCCCCCCAGGTGTTTCGAGATGCTGCCCTGCGCAGAAGTGCACTCCATGCTCGGAGAGCTGGCAGACAATGCGGTGGCTGCGTCGTCCCCCGGACCCGCAAACTCAGTGATGTGTTTCTGTGATTTTTCGGTTTCGAGGGTTTGGGGGTCGAAGATGGCGACGACATGCGACGACGACGCGCCAACCCCGTCTGACTAAGATGCGAGGATCCCAAAACGACGACAGTTTCGAGGACGGCGAGGACAACGCGCCGTGCACGCCTGCTTGCCAACTGGTGTTGAGAACGCGAACTGGTGTGAGGGTTGAATATGGAGCTGGGTTGGTGACTTTGTGTTGAGTGCTGCTTACATCATCTTACACCCCGAACTGAGGCTGAACCTCTACTCAGGGCGTGTACTCCAACGTGTCATGGAGAACTGTGGCCTCGAGGCAGTAGCCCATTCTTAAGACTTCCAGCCTGAGAGCCCTAAGCCTGGACTTCCAGGAGCTTGTGGTCTGCTCTGAAAGTAGTATGTGCATGGGAAGCTATGCCATGGTCTTCCTTCATGAGCTCACGCATGGTCTGTCTGCTGCTCGAGGACCAGCTGTTGCGTGGGGGATTTGTGAACTGCACTGCTGAGGTAACCATGAGCACGAGCACATGATGCAGATCCTGGACTCCCTGCTCGAGCCGGAGGCTCTAGGCAGGCTCGTCACCAGCGCACACGGGCACAACGTGATCCGCTCGATGCTCACCCGCGCCAGCGCCCTTCGCGTGCGGAGCGTGGTGGCGTTCTTCTTGCAGGAGAACGACCTCCTAAGCTATGCACGGAATCGGCACGCCAGCTTGGTGCTGGAGAGTTGTCTGGAAGCCTTGTGCCGGCCAGACTTGGCAGAGCCCTTGCAGCCGGACAGAGCAGCCTTGGTCGAACGAATCCTGGGGAAGGAAGGTGACGACCAGCCGCTCTTTATCAAGGTGGCCTTGGACCGCTTTGGCAACTACGTGTGCCAGCGGGTGATCTTCATTTCGCAGGGAGCTGAGGCAGAGCGGGTTCTCAGCCTGATCGCCTCCATGGGCAGCAAGCTCCGCCGCACCACCAATGGCCGGCATATCCTGGCCACGGCGCGGTCGAAGTTCGGCCAGCTCCCTGCGCCCTGCGCGCCCAAGCCCTGAAAAATAAGGGCCAGGGCGTAAAAAGCACCCGTGCCGTAGGAATACGCTGCTGACTCCGGTGAACTTGTCCCGGATGTCCCGGATAGCGGCGGAACCATGCAGAATTCACACTTCATCATTCAAGTTTCAGCTGTTGTAGCATGCTAGCAGGATGGCTTCTTAGAGGCACCCTCATCTTAGGAGTTCCGTGATGTTCCGTGGGTCAGGAGGACCCATGAATAGACGACTCGAGAAGGCCTGTTGGAGCCTAGTCTCGCAGGAGACTCGGTTGTTTCGGTTCGCTTCTGACTATCCCCCGCATTTATAGCACATCATTTTCTGCAACACGCCAGAAAGCCCTTCCCCACCCCTCTGCCGACAGAGGTCTTTGTGCACCGAGCACTTCAGCTTTCCCCCTTGCTTCCCATTCGCACTGCTTTTGATGGACGCCTTGTACAGACAGGTGCGTTGACAGACAGAGGCCGCGAGCCATCTTGGCATTTAGAAAATTTAGAACCCAAGCCTGATGGCTTCCTAAACCTTAAGACCTAGGCAAAACTTCCGAAGGCCTTGAACCCTGAACACCCCCCAAAGCCCCCCCCCTCAACAAGGATTCGAGTAGATGCCGGGAGCTGGCGAACGGACTGTCCCTGTCGTGGGCTTGGAGCTGGGGCTCTGAAGCTGCAGGTCTGCGATGCCTTCGCCGCCTCGGCCCACGATGCCCCAGCATGGTCTCAGCAGTGGGCCGCTCCTGCCCCCCCTCTTTAATAAAAGTGAGTTTGTGCGTAGTATTCGGCTGCCCCGGAAGTCCATCGAGCGACTCATGGGCGAGATAACTTGTGCTTGCACTACCCCCTCCACCCCCGCCCACGGACAGGTTGGCGGCGTTCCGTAGCTTGTAACTTGGAGGTCTATTCTTGCAGTAGCAAGACTTCGTGCTTTTTGCCAGCACTTAGCTTTCTTTGGCCACTCTCGCACAGTCTTCTGAGTTGTAGATCTATCTGGATGTCCTGGGACCTTTTGCAAAAGATGTGCATGCCCCAACCCTAAACCCCCAACCCTAAACCCTAAACCCTAAACCCTAAACCCTAAACCCTAAACCCTAAACCCTAAACCCTGAACCCTGAACCCTGAACCCTGAACCCTAAACCCTAAACCCTTGCCAGCACGTGCGCCAGTGTGAAAGTCGAAACCCTAAACCCTAAACCCTAAACCCTAAACCAAAACCCTAAACCCTAAACCCTAAACCCTAAACCCTAAACCCTAAACCCTGAACCCTGAACCCTGAACCCTAAACCCTAAACACAAGGAGAGTCGGCACTCGAAGCCTTTAAGCATCCCCCTCAAGACAAAAGGATAGCATGCAATGGCGGCTCAACCAGTGCTTGCCGTGGGCAGCCCACGGGATTTCCCAATTTCAATGCTGGAAGCACCTCTGATAGTGATATGCAGGCCGGTTTGGTAGGTGAGATGAGAGGTCAAACAAGGCACCAGGGAGCTTGAGACGTGCCAGCTATCAGAGATGTAGAGATGTGGGTGTTTCGCAAAATAGGGGGTACCCCTTAAACATACCCCAAACAGAATATAGAACAGAATCCCCTTGAAGGGAACCCCAAAAAGGGTACCCCTATTTTCGGAAACTCCCATATGTGCATGGTCAGGCAAGTTTGGAGTGTGGCATGTCCGAACCCCTGCAGCTGTCGGAGCACATGCGTGCCTGCTGCTGCAACTGTAGAGGCCTTCAAGTGGCTGTTCAGGACGACAGGCGCAATCTTCAAACGGCCATTTGGCTTTTTATATACGTCCCAGCTCGCGCAGCTGAAGTGACAGAGCTGGGTGACTCCCAGCGAGTGCAACATTCCCGATGGTGGCGGCACCAGCCGGGCGAAAAGGCTTCGAAAATTGGACATTGTCGCAAGGGCATCAGGCCCTTTGACGTCCCCAGCCATGGACTTTCTTTCCATGCTGGAGACCGAGAGATCGGGTTTTGTGCACATCCTGCACAACTGTTCTCGTAGGTGTTGCTAAGTTTAATGGCTCCACATCCTTGGTCTGGAAGGAGCTCATGGATGACTTCCGCCAGGACCCTGCTGAGGGCTCAAGCGCACATGTATTCCAACTTGGAGGTTCATGGGTACTTGTAAGCCCCTCTGGCTATTGGGGGGGGGGGGGGGGGTGGATTCGCAGGTGGAGTTACCTCCGAAATTCAGGATCGACATGGTCAATGCATCTGGGGCGTCTGAAATTAGTGGCGCCTGCCGTTCTAGAATCATCGGAAGCCTCACTCACATCTGCCAGCCTGAGCATCAAAACCCAAGAGCGCACTGCAAGAAAACTCGGAAATGCCTCACCGAAACCACAAAACCTCAACCGAACCTTAGAATTACCTCCACACATTGTGGGCCGTAGGCAAGTCATGGAAGGCTTTTGGGGATGCAGGAAGCGGAAACGCAGTCCCTCTGCTGCGGGTCAGGGGTGGCCTGAGCCCGAGACAACCGACAAGCCCAGTGTCGTTCGCCTCAATGTGGGAGGCCGTGAGTACATCACCTCTACGAGCACGTTGCAGAAAGTCGGAGATAGCATGCTGGCCAGGATGATTCAAAGCAGCATACCCTCTGCCACACAGAATGGCGCTTACTTCATCGACCGTGATCCTGACCTTTTTGCTTATATTCTGGAGTACCTGCGTGATGGCGCTGTGGAGCTACCGAGCTCTTCAGAGCCACTGCGCCGCCTTGAGAGGGAGGCAAGTTTCTTCATGCTTCCGGGCTTGGAGAGTCTCGTCCGCTCCAGGCTGCTAGAGGTTTGCCTGGAAGTGAAGATTTTTGCAAAGCCCTTCGGGTGCTCAGACGAAGAGTGCAAATGCGGAAGCAACAGCCTGGCTCACTTGAACGAGTTCAGCGATGCGGAGATAAATGCAATGGATGCCGAGATCGACGGTTATCTTGACCATCCAGCCAGGGAGGTCAGGCCGTCTTTTCAGTCGCCTTTTGCTACCATACATGTGGTCATCAAGACACAGCTACCTCGCAATGCATGGGATGCTCAGGTAACGGTCTCGGGTTGCCCTTCACCAATGACCATGAGCGACCTTTTTTCACCAGCCGTCCTTGACCTTTTAAAGAGGTGTCAGCAATGCTGGGGAACATACGTGGCAGATGGTTCCCTCAATGATCACCCCAAGTACACCAATCCCAATGGTGCCGTGATGTATTGGAGTAGCGGCAAATGGAAGCTGAATTCAGAAGCCTCCACTGAAGAACACGTCTACAGTGTGGATGCAGTTGACGACACGCCACCACGCGGTGTGTGGTGTGGCGAAGCTGGATTCAAGTGTATGGTGGATGGAGTGGACTTCCCTCGACCTCAAGAAGCAAGCATGGCGAAGGCCATGCAGGCAATCAGGAGAGCGTTAGTCGAATGCGAGGGGCTTGGCCTGGTGCATATCGAAGATGTCCTGAAACCAGTCCCGGACATACTTCGCAAGTTCGTGGAGGAGCCAGAGCTGTCCTACCATGAGCTGCATTTGAAGACCGGTGGATACAATGTCGGTGACCATTACGTGAAAAAAGAGCAGCGGCACCATTTCAAGACTTGTGTGAAGTTCGAAATTGCGACCCGGAGTCATTCTGAGTGCAAGCGTCGACGGGCGGATCAGAGCATCAGAGCATAAGCCGCGCATGTGAACTACGATTCGGCGCAGTGCTTTATCTGCCTGATGGATGCTGCTCTTTTGGAAAGAGGGCTTGTTGTTTGCTTACAGCGTCTTGCAGACGATTTTTGAGTAGAGGCAGCAGCAGGGGAGGACGAAGTCTTGCTTGCTCCGAAACTGTTGGTGCTGACGTTTGTAATGGTATCTCTCGCTTGTGAGGGTAAATTCGTGGAAGGCCTGTCTCGTTTTGTGAAGAGCTGTCCTGTTACCCGAGAGTGATCCTGGGCGTGACTCGTGCTGTAAGTTGGGATCTTCCCCCTTATACTAGCAGTCCTTAATAGGGATTATAGTACCCCTATTATAGTCCCTATTCAGGACTGTTAGAATAAAGGGGAACATCCCAAGCTGTAAGTATCTTGTGGTGGTTGGTATCTCTTGGTTCTTGGTAAGTGTGAGACGAACAGGCTGAGTACTCAGAAACCTTGATTATTCCCTGCGGAGAGGCCGCTGTGGGTCAGTTAGGGTTTAGGGTTTAGGGTTTAGGGTCTAGGGTTTAGGATTTAGGGTTTAGGGGGGTTTAGGGAGGTTTAGGGTTTAGGCAAAAGGGTTGCCGGCTTAAGACTCTTCAGTCTGTGCGTAAGCAAGGGTCTAGGTGTTTAGGGTTTAGGGAACCCAGCCTCGACATGAACCGTTTCTGCATCTGGGCAATGGCAGGTGGCAAGAAAATGCTAAGGTCGACACCCCCAGTAGGGATGATGGAATTAGGTACCTGATCAGATGCAAAAGGTACCGGATAATGAGCTCATCTTTTTCTTTGCTACCCTTTTAAACCCCAAACCCGAAACCCTAAACCCTAAACCCTAAACCCAAAAAACACGAAACCCTAAACCCTAAACCCTAAAAAGGGTACCGAGCTCCCTTATGCCTTACGAAGAGCCAGTGGCACAGGACTGGGAGCCTGCGGTCGACGCCTTGAATGAGGCCGCAGCTTGGAGCCAGAGACCAGGGTTGAGGGTTGAGGGTTGAGGGTTTAGGGTTTAGGGTTAGGGTTTAGGGTTTAGGGTTAAGGGTCTTTCTGATGCTGCGACCAGTGTTGTGCGTTCAAGTCCTACTGCCCACTTACACGATTGAAGAGCACTTAGTCATGCTTAGGAACCTCCACTACGATATGTTGCGAGATGATCATCTTGTCCTCATGTTTGAGACTGTGCCTGTTGATTGGCTTGCTAGAGTATGGGGATCCAGTCAGAGCACTGGGAGCCTGTGCTAGGGCAGTTTCTGGCAGCACCCACGGGAGTCCGGATGCAAAAAACGGGGTTTATGAAGTTGTCATCGTGCCAGCTGACGCACAGAGTCTGGGTTAACAGAAGGGTTTAGGGTTTAGGGTTCCCGAACAAAAAGGTCCACACCCGCATTCCTTAGACCTATACCCCCTAAATCCTAGACCCAAAGCAAAAAAACCCTCTATCCTAAGCCCCCCCAGAAAGAAAGCACCCAAAGGGCCGGCGCTGCTTCTTGCAAGTCTCCCAAAGGAGCAACTTTTGGGTCAATTGCTCAAAGCCTGGCTTGCAAAAGGGTTAAGGGTTTCGGGTTGAGGAAGCAGGTGTGCAAGCAGTAGGCATGTCAGAATTGAAACTTTGCAGCCCTTCCTCAGTGACTGCTGTGTGACTTCTTCTGTCCCTGAACCCTAAACCCTAAACCCTAAACCCTACACCCTAAACCGTAAACCCTAAACCCAAAACCCAAACAGACCATGGTGTGGGCCTGTAGGGATGCTGCAGCAGTTTTTTCCTTGCTTCGTGGCATGCACCAAGTCCGGTTTCAAAACCAGGTTGAGAAAGCCGGGCCATGCCCAGAGTCCGTTGCAAAAAAGGGTTTAGGGTTTAGGGTTTAGGGTTTAGGGCAAAGCGCGAGCTCTTCACGTTAGTTCTGCAGAGCCCACATGCAACAGGGACAAAGAGGGCTCAGGGAGCTCCTGGTTGCAACATGGTTTCTGGGTTAGGGAGGCGTTAGGGCTTAGGGATCAGGGCGTAGGGTTCAGGGTTTCGGGTTCAGGGTGTAGGGTGTAGGGTTTAGGCTTGACAAGCCACGAAGCCTCAAAGCCCAGGAGGAGGCCTTTGGGCTCGGTGGGGCACAGAGTTTCGCGGCGCCTTGGCTGTAGGCTTCTTACCCGGCTTCTATGGGGATTTCCCAGTGGTCAGGGTTCGTATTTTGGAGACAAAGGGGATTATACGGTGTTTGGGGTATGTAAGAGGTGCCTTATCTTGGGAAATATCCATATCCATATTCGACCTCTGCCTGTAAGGTTTGGATGCGATAATAAGGTGAATAGGCTCGGGCCTCCCGGCTTGTGTTTGCTTTGAGCTGGTTCATGAACTTCTCGTTTTCTTGAAGCGGGGGGGATTTGGCGGGGAGTTGGGGGTTCGCTGCGGCTACACTTCTTATGAAGCCAGCTTGGGCGTGCTAGATATTCGGCTACCTTGCATTTGCCCACATGTTCTCACGAGCCTTTCTCGAAGGCACGCTCCAGAACTTGTGCTCTCGTATATTCATTTCCGGAGCCCGATGCCCTAAAGCTGTTGTTCAGGAACAGAAGTTGTACTCTGCCATGGTCTGTATGCTTTTTTCGCTAACCACAGTAAGTTTGTATAACCACATCATGGGAACTCAATTTAGCTTCCATATATGCACGTGTTTATATGTGTATGTATGCGTATATATATACACATATGTATCATTAAAACCAATGCTAGTAATATGTGTTTATCGATCGATCGATCTATCTATCTATCTGTATACATACATATATATATATATATGTATCTACAAACTGCATATCTGTACATGTATCTACATATATATATATATATATGTATACTTGTATATGTCTCTGTGTGTACACAAGTTGCTGAACCCAGAAAAGTCGAAGGAGAACTTCACCGAGGGTGGCGCTCCTTGGCACCGGTCCGAGGCGCGGCGCCCGGGCTTCAGGTTCATTTGGGGAAGTTTTGGGATTTGGGTTTGCGGGGTTTATAGGGTCTAGGGCCTAGGGTTTAGGGTTTAGAGTTCTACCTGAAGCCTTAGATGTTGCTGCTACTTGAGTGGAATCATTAAAGAGTTCTGTAGGACAATGTCCTTGTCCCCCCCTTTTTGGGGTACCTACATGTATTGGACTGTCCTGCTTGAAGCCTTAAGCGGGGGGTTCAAGCAGAATTGCGAGAGAGTTGCAAGTTTGGGCGTTGAAGCAAGTAATGAATGTGTGTGTGTGTGTGTGTGTGTGTGTGTGTGTGTGTGTGTGTGTGTGTGTGTGTGTGTGCGTGCGTGGGTGTGTGTGTGTGTGTGTGTGTGTGTGTGTGTTTGTTTGTTTGTTTGTTTGTTTGTTTGTTTGTTTGTTTGTTTGTTTGTTTGTTTGTTTGTTTGTTTGTTTGTTTGTGTGTGTGTGTGTATAAACATGTGTTTTTCATCGGCTTGCGGGGGTGCAAGGCTAGGGCTTCGGACATCGACCGTTCTGGGCTCAGACGCGCGATTGAACTAAGCCCGATACCCTAAATCCCCAAGTCCTAAACTATTTAGGACCCTTAGGATAAGGGGGACACATCCCAACCCTAAACCCGAAAGCCCTAAAACCCTAAAACCCTAAACCCTAAACCCCGAAATCTGTTCCAAAAATGCAGGGCTGGGCAGCGGCCCGGGACTTGCGATCTGTTTTGACACGGATGCCGGAGCTGCGGTCGCTGGGCAAGCAATGTGGAGTTTCTCGTTCAGGGGTTTAGGGGGACTTAGGTAGCATGGGTTCATTAAACGGAGACTTAGGCGTGACTTAGGTTGAGGGATTGCGGGATTTTGGAGTCCAAGCTTAGGCTTCAGAGGTGTGTTTAGGGCCTAGAAGCTTAGTAACCCTAAACCCAACACCCAAAACGCTAAACTTAGGCATTTCGGTTGAGAGGCCCAGGTTATGATGATCTGGCTTCGGGCGCAGGGAGATTCGGTGTCTGAACCCTAAAACCTAAACCCTAAGTCCTAAATCCTAAACCCTAAACCCTGAACCCTAAACCCTTTTTGTTGTCCTGTAGTTCAGACAGCTGCCAAACTCGTGGGCTCCAAGGAAGCTCGTGCGTCGCATCGGCCGCCGAGCGGCGGTTCGCGGGCCGAGGCGCAAAAAGGTTTCGGGCATTTGGAGGCCCATGCGTACTTATCACCCCAAGTATAAGTCTACTTGTATCCTACTTGGGGGGTTTAGGCAAAAAGAAGTAATTGATGCAAAAGAAGTTCTTGGGGTGATTCGTGCACATGAACCTCCAAGTGGTTGGGCTTTGTCTTCGAGTCTTGGCACCGCCATCCACACCGGAGGCGCTGGCTCCCTGCTGAGGCGGAGGACGCCGGCAGGGTGGCCCTAAGTCATAAGCATCCGAACTTCTAAGCCCTAAGCTGAGTCTTAAGCAACCTTGACCTGAAGCACGCTCGAGACCCATGCAGGTTTCTTCGGGCTTTGAGCGCAGGAATGTCTCCCTCGCCCCCTCGGGCAGGTGACAGTTGCCTTAAAGGCCCCCTAAACCCTAAACCCTAAACCCTAAACCCTAAACCCTAAACCCTAAACCCTAAACCCTAAACCCTAAACCCCAAACCCCAAACCCTAAACCCTAAACTCTAAACCCTAAACCCTAAACCCTAGACCCTAAACCCTGAACCCTGAACCGCCCCGTCTGAAACCAGGAGCTCGGCTGCCCTCAGGGCGTGGCCCGCTCGGTGCGGGCGCCCTCGGAGGCAGCTGGTAGCATGTTGGGAGTGTGGGTGCGGAGTTTAGGAGTGTGGTAGGAAGCTCAGGGCTCAGGGCTTGGTGTTGTTTCTAATTTAGCTTTGTGGGTGACGAGTTGACCTCATAGGTTTTCAGAGCTTGAGTGCTTCAGGCCCTGCATCTTGGGTGCTAGGTTCCGGAGGGTTCCCAAAAGGATGCTCGTGTGAGGTGTGGAAAGGAAGAAGCTGGCCCTGCGCCCTCCAACAGACAGAGCGAGAGAGAGAGAGAGAGAGACCTTGGACATTGCGCGCCCCCTGGGGCGGCTCTCTCCTTCGGGAGGGGGCTTTGCGTGCAGAGAGAGAGAGAGAGAGAGAGAGAGAGAGAGAGAGATGGAGATGGTTCACACCGACTGACTCTGTAACGCATGCCCCTTTTGGCAGTCTCCCTTCGGGGGGATCATGTGCGATGGAGAGACGGAGAGACAGAGAGATGGAGAGAAGGAGAGATGGACTTGTGGGCGCCCCCCATTTCGGACTCAAGCATGTGGCAAACGGTGGCAATCGCCCCGGGAGTCCCAATCGGAACAAAAGAGGAAGAACAAGACAGCACCGTGAGGCTTCAGGCATCGCGCGCAGCGGTGCCATCGAGTTGATGCTGCCTGCAGAGGCTGCTTCTGTGCGGAGCATCCGATGTCCCTGGACTATCTGACTATCCCCCCGCCACTGAATCGAACTGAAAGCCCTGAGATTTTTACCCCCCATCCGCAGCGGCACGGACACCAGGCCCACCTGCTAGTGCAGGGTCGCAAGAGGTCCACTCTTAGGCAGGGCGGGGAGGGGGTTCCAGGACTTCTTCGGCTTCAGACTTGGTGTCTGTATCTTCCAGTGGAACCAGGAGTTTTCGGATCCGTCTGTTCCTTTCTCCGAGCCACGGCCTCTGCGCAGGGCCCTCCACCATGCCCGGCGACTGGAGCAGTCCCTGCTCAGCCCCTTGGCGTAGCCTTGTTGAGCTTCCGGTTGAGGGCAGGTTTCAGTGCGGTAGAGTCGCACGGGATTAGATGTGCTTCGGGCTCCTGTAGGGACTTTAACCCCTCTGTCAGAATTCACAACTCGTCCCAGGCGCACCCGGAGAGACAAACCCCGAAACGCGGAAACTGCCCCAGCTGACCCACACACGCACAGAAGCCAGAAGCCAGGTTACCACCGGGCATCGTGGATGGAAGTCCCGACACGGGAGCTGCGAGCCGAAGAGGCTGGGTTTTGGGGATCAGTGTTCAGGGTTTTCGGGGGCTCGCAATCACTATGACGGCTGAACGTCATAACCCCTGCACATGGCTGAGCTGATGGTGCAGGGAGTAGGTGCAATCAAAGCACTGAGAATACTGAGAGTTCCAGATCCTTCCCATATTTTGCCAACAGTTGAGGTCCGCCCCGCGGGTGAGAACGGACCGCTGATCCTCTGCTTGGACACCAGTGGGAGCATGGCACGTAAAGGCCCAGGGCCGAAACATAGAGGGTCTGGAAGGTAGAAGCAGGCTTCAGAGGCTTAAGTGCAATGGATGATAGTTGGTGTTGGATTGAAGTTGTTTGTTTTTGTCTTGTGCTTGCATGCCTCTTCGCGCAGTTGTAGCATCCCTCGCGATTACCTTGTGTGTCAATCGCTCAGCAGGAATCGTGTCCCACAGCATGTCTTGCCCAACGGTTTGGGGTTTGCGGGGCAGGCGGTGCGCCCGAGACGGTGGCAAAGGCCCTCGTGCTCCCAGGACTAAAGCAGTCGGTCGTTGTACACGTGGTGTGCAAATGCCGAGATTCAGGCTCTTCTTCGGAAACTCGGGAAGGCTTACTCACCTGCAGCTAGGAAAGATACGGGCGCGTAGCATGCAGCACGCAAGCCACAAGGTCCCCGCAAGCTACAGCTGTTCTGCCTCCTGATGTCTCCTGTAGCTCAACTGGGGTTTGGGGGTGTTTTTGGGTTTACAGGGGGGTGCAGCCAAGGTTTGAGTGCTTGCGCCAAGCCCAAGAGCAGCAGCGGCGCTGCTGCCTCTTTGCCTTCTCCACCGGCGCACGCCCGAGATGTTTAGGGGCCACAGAAACGTCCTCAAGCCCCGAAGCGCCGCACAGCCTTGGACCATGTGACCTCTTCGCCCAAAAGAGGGAACCTCTGCTACAAAACTGGCCCCTTTCCGAAAAAACAAGGCCACAATTTGTGAGAGCCGATGGCGCGAAAGGTGCGGAGCTCCAACAGCTGGATCTGGACCTCAGCGCCCTGGGACTCGATCGCCACCGTGGCCCAAAAGTCGGGGGTGCGGGTGGAGGGAGGGCTTCACTTTGTTTGGTCTGAGAGGTTCTTCCAGCTGTCGGCTGTTCTCAGATGCATTGCCTCCTATACATAAGTTGCAGGATATTTCGGAAGGGGGCTCCAAGCCTTCTTTGCCCCAAATGCCCCCATGTGAACTGAAGCCCGCAAAGCCGGTGCGTAAGCCTTAGGCCTCCTGGAGTTTCTCAGCTTCGCCTTCCATGGTGGCACCTCCCTCAACGAGGCCGAATGGTTCCCAAGCTTGTGGGTAAGACTTCGGGGATTTCGGGCTTTGGGGGGTGCAGGGGTCCAGAAGCCGTCGGTTTGAGGCTGAAGCTGAGGGCGGAGGGCTTTGGTCCAGGGCTTCGGTTGGCAAGTTGGCTGCGCCTAGCTTGCGGGGCTGAGGAAACCAGGTCCAAAGTGGCAAAGGTCTAGGATAACGCCACGAAGCAGGTCCTCCTTGCCAGTGTCGAGCGCTTGGGAAGCTCTCAGCAGTGGCAGAATGCGGACCTACTGCTTGTGACGGCGCCTGGGCGGCCAAAGCCCCTGTTGTTTTGGTTGCATGCACAGGAGTCTCAGGACGGAAAGACGGAGCCCGAAGCTGCCCAAGAAAGTCAGCCCCCCGAGTTTTTTTGTTACTCATTGCATCGACCCCGCCTCCTCTCACCAAGGAGCTTCTGCTACATCCCCAAATCTGGAGTTACCCTGTCTGAAGATGCAGACCTCTCGGGAAGTCCCAGAATGTTTAGCACCACATCCCAAGCCTCAGGATGGAGAAGTCCCGAAGCCCAGCGATGGTGTGTGGCGTGGCCATGCAGCCCTAAACCCCTGCACCCTATGACAGTCAACCCAGGAGTTCTTGTAGTGATCTTATGCCCTCACGATAAACCGTTAATGCCTTTGTTCGTCTTTGATATGTGGCTGTTGTAGGTTTGCGGGGTGTTCACAACACCAAAGCAGGATCTAGGCTGTGATGCAAGGCTTCGGCACGGATGTCGGACTTTCAGTGTCATGCTGCATAGCTAAAATGGTGGGAAAAGAGACGGCGCTAGTGAGCAGCACATTCAGCACACTGTATACCTATGAACCGTCAGGCACTTGCAGTGACAGTACCCCTGCAATGTTTCAGCAAGGCTTGAATCCCTGGGTGAAGCGCGTGCGGAGTACGGTGCTGCGGGCTGCAACCCAGTGATTTTGGTGCAGAAGTTTAGGGTTGGGGTTAGGTGCTGCGTGCGTGAAGTGTAGAGGTGTGAAGCAGGTTAGGGGCTTGGGGAGAGGAGCGTTTGGCCGCGCAAGATTTTCAACGCCAGAATTCCCGGGGGCGCCGCTGTCATGATCACCTTGGTTTGCCTGAGCCCGAACCCTCCACAGCTGGCAGGGGCTCGGGTCTACGGCGTGGTGGTCGGCTGCTAGGCTGCGAAATAGTTGTAGTGTTGCTTGTTGTTTTAAGTGGTGCTCACTTTGCTTCGCTTCTTTCACATAGTTCCACTCGGTGTCTAGCATTAGACTCATGAGTTTCTCTTGGGGAATTTGCATGTTGCGAATGAGGGGGTGCCAGGTCCCAAATACCAGAATGACTACAACCCGAAACAACAACTCTGAACCCTAATAAAAGTCGGCTAACACCCTACACTTAACCCTTAGACTTAAACTCCTCCCAACCTCCTCTCGGCGTAAGAAGACCCTCCTATCGGGCAAAAACGAGTCTGAAGGCGGCCGTTTCGGAGTAGGGCATAGAGGGCTCCAGTATAAGCCGCCTGTAAGCCCTTACATGCCCGTGGTAACTTGCTAGATCTCAAGGGCGGATTAAGGGACCAAGCGAAGGAACCCACAAAACAGGTATGCCCTCAGAATGTAATTCGTCGTCTCAGACAATTCCTACAACCTGGCATCCGACCACCTTAGGTTTTAAGATTCGGGGCTGCCCCGAAATCTCAGATCTCAAAGCCTCTGGGCGTGTGGCCAAAACACCGAGGCAGCAAGACCGGAGCGGTGATGCAGAGCCTGTGCGCCTCGGCTGAGAAATTATTGCACACACGCATGCGTACATACATACATGCATACATACATACATACGTATGGTGCACGCAGATCAGAATGGGAACAGGACACACGCGGAGAAGCAAGATGCAATGCAGCCACAGCGATGTACAAAGCACGACACATAGAAAGAATGAAAGACAGAAGGAAGCAACCACGCACAGAAAGAATTCAACCATAGCAAATGTATGTGCATAGCCGAGGATTGAAACCACCAGGACATCAGGATTTGGGATAATCACAACATGTGAGAACAACAAGCAAAGTGGCCTTTAAGACTGCAGGGCCGGTTTGTGCGAGTGGACAGATCGAGAAAGCGAATACAATGAAGGCCAGATGGCACAAGGAACGGACGTAACGAACTCACGGCACAGAACAGAACAGAGGAAAGACAGAAGAAAGCGAGACAATTCAGGAACCTCAACAGAGCCCAAGTTACCCCCCCCCCCCCCGCAAATGAGGAAGTGTACCCCTGAAATCATAATAAGGGTCGTGGCAGCGCAAGTCAGAGATGAGCTGCAGGTGCAAGTGCTTCACAACCTCCGGAAGCTAAACTGCCGGAGCACCCCACATCACCCCTTCAGCAAGCGCGGCAAAGCAAAACCTTTCAACAAACTACCTAAGACCCCCAAGGTTGCAGAGTGACAACCCTAAGATACCCACAAAAGAGGCTCTTGGTAGCACCTGCCCTTGAAAGTCCAAGGTTCGGAGCTCTACCACTTCACGCGCCGCGTGGATGCTGGTAACTTGGTGGACAGACTGGGCTTAGGCTTTAGGGTTTGGTTCAGGCATTGCCTTCAGTCTGCCAGGAAACAATCCGACCAGCCAGGGAGCGGGAGGCGCATTTGACCCACCATGCTCCACAGCGCCACTTCACTACCTCAATCTATCGCACGAATTCAGGCTTTGCACTTTGCACGACGACTTCCACTGTAGGGTGCTTCTCCAAACGTGAAGCTCAGATTCGCCAGAAGGCGTAGCTTGGCATCGTAGTGTGCATATGATTCAAAAGCCCCGGCAGCTGTTTTACGCCCCGAACGCCGAACACCCGGAATTCAAGACTCGAAGCCCCGGAAGCTCTGAACACAGATGGTTCCAAACCGAACTCACCGAGATTCTGAGGAAAGGCTCCCGAGCACCGCGCGCCCTTGGAGCCGAAGGTGTGTGTTGAGGGTTTGAGGGTGTGTGTTGAGGGTTGGTGTTTGAGACGTTGGCTCAGGGGCGTTGGCGCTTTAGGGTTCACTGGGCGGCTGCAAGTTTTCAAGTTTGGGGCTTGGGGCCTGGGATGTCCACAAATGGGGACGCTTCGCCCCCTCACAAACACCACTACCGGGTCGCTTCCGCCCATGAGCCTCCACTAAAGCCTAGTTAAGCCCTAAACCCTAAACCCGAAACCCTACTGAGAGTCGAAGCCCGAAACTGTAACCACTAAACTCCCCGAGAAAGCTCCAGATCCTCCGTGGAAGGACTGGGCGCTGCGCCGCGTCCGCGCGGAGACGGCGGTTGCCGCAACTTGGGCGCCGGGCACTTGGGACAGCTTCCCTTTTTGGGGTTTAGGCTTTATAGGCTTTATAGGGTTTAGGGTTTAGGGTGCGTTTGAGGGTTTGGGGTATGAGCCAAGAGTGAAGGTAACCCAAGAGTGAAGAGGCCAGCAGCATCCCCATAGCCTCCCGTATGCAGCTCTCAGGCCTCGCGCGGCAGCAAGTGGCCGCAGCACCTTTGCAGGTACATCTCGGGGCTGCATTTTTTGCATTCGGAGCGAGATCTCGACAACCCGAAGATCGAAAACTTCAATGTGGGGCATCCAGGCGAAAGAAGTTCTCAAGCCTCAGCCCCGCAACTTTAGAAATTAGAACCCCAATGCTAGCTAAGCCTTACACTACAGAAAGCCCTCAATTCAACAAACCCTCATCAAGCACAGCCCGGCCATCCAGCAGCCTCAGACCCTGCGTGCTGCAGCTTCTGCAGGCGCCAGTGCCGCTGGCGCCCCGCGCGGGCGCGTGGCGCGGCCTGCGCTGAGAGAAGCAAGCCTGCAGGCTTGGGGTTTGGTTGGGAGGTCTTCCTGTCGGACGTAGTGAAGACATGGGGCAAAGAAGTATTTGGAATCGGTTGGGCTTTTTGTCTTTGCGCGGCTTCGTTTGTTTACTCCGGGGGGGGGTTCTCAATGGGGGCCTGGGCTTAGGATTGCTGTGGGGTTCCAAGGGTTCGGTTTTGTTCCACACAAGGTTGCACGAACAAATCGGAAATAGGGACTTGGGGCACTTGGAGCGGGATCGGGGGGGCAGGCAGTGGTAGAAGGAGCCCTTTTGTCAAGGGTAACAAGAAAGCAGAAAAAAATAGAAACAAGCCACCTGTTGAGGTCGTCCCTTCTTTCCAGGGCATGACATCTGAATCTAGCGGGAGAAGGCTGAAGCCTAAAACCCAAAGCCCAAAACCCTAAACCCAAAACACTAAACCCCAGATCCTAAACCCTAAGCCCTATAGCCCCCAAACCCGAAGATAGTTGCAGTCCATCTTGCCTTGCCGACCCCTTTCTTCAGGGCCAAGAGCGACGGGAGACGGTGTCCGAGTTCAGCCCTCAGCTTGCTTTTTGCCTGGTCTATTGATTGCGGCACTGGGGGCTTTAGCAACTGTCCCAGTACACCCTTCAGCCCAAATCCGACCAGCATGTGCCCGAACTGCAAAGTTGTCCTTCCCACCTCAGGAAAAAGACCCTCATATTCTGCTTGCGTAGTTCCTTGCTTGATTGACATGGAAAACGTATGCCCCCCCCCCCCCCGCACACACCCGCAAGGCAGGTATCGAAGATTTTGGGAGATGTTGCCGAATCCAAGCCCCCAAGCCCTTCCGGCGGCCATCAGAGGCGCAGCGAGCGCGAGGCGCGCTGGGCAGAGCGCGAGAAGCTGAAGCAACGGGAGCATGAGCAGGAGCTGCGGGGAGGCACAGGAAGCTTCTCCAAGAGGCTTGGGATGCTCCGCCAAACATGGGGATACTCAGCGTATCGCAGGGTGTAAGGAAGACGTGGAGCAAGCTGTAAAAACCGCCGGCCCCAGAGCCCCGATCGGGTTAGGGCCGTTTAGGAGTTAGCCTAAACGGCTGGGAGGAGCTCCAAGCCAAGATGGGAAAGCGCTGGCGATGGGTGAATGGCCGATGGCAGACCAAGGAGGACCCCCCAAGCCCCCCAAAACCCGCGCAAGCCCCCAATACGGGCCTTGAAGATTCACAAGAGTTTTTTCACGCACCTCGAAAGCAACAAAGACCCCGCCGCCACCAGCCAACAGCCTTGCACCCGAAACTCCCTAAACCCCCATCCCTAAACCCTAAACCCCAAGCCCCAAACTCCAAACCCCAAACCCAGAACTTCCAAACCTTTCAAAGCCCTCTCTGCGAGCTCCCAGGAGTCCGAGGCCCAGGATGCCAAGATCGAGCTGGTCTACCAAGAGCGGCTGTGGCGCAGAGTGTTCAACGGCGTTTTCCCTCTCTGTCTCTTTCTCGCAGAGTGTTCTCTCTCTCTCTCTCTTTCTCTCTCCCTCTCTCTTTGTTTTTGGTGGTGGAGAGAGGATGCTATGTGGGGTGCTACGTAGGCGCAGAGTCCAGAGGTCGCAAAACGTATAGACCCAACATTCCAAACCCCAAGAGACCCAAAAGAGCCCTGCTGTTCTGGCATTTTCGCACCGCAGGTCTCGATTGCAAGAGGCTGGCGCGGGATGAAGGGTTTCGGGTTGTGGGGCACCTGGCCGGACGCAAAAAGGGGCTCCTGACAAGCAGCTTCCGGTTTGAGGCACCTGGGGTTTCTCTGTTTTTTTTTTTGGTTTTGGTTTTTGAAGAGCCCCCTGACAGCTTCCATCACCCCTCCTTGGAGGGTTCTGGGGCTTACGGATAAGGTTTTCATCCAGGGTGGGGTGCAAAGATGACTCAGAGGGCTGGCGGGAGGCCAATCTCCAGCTCGAGCTCAAGAAGCACTTCCAAAGCAGGCGCCGGTGGCCGATGTTGCGGCTTTGGCTTGCCAGGAAATTTTTTGGGGCAGCTGTTGATGGTTGGCGTTGGGGAGCGGCGCTGGGTGCCATTTAGGGCTTCCAGGGCAGGAGGTTTGCGAAATCCTGAACCTCCAGTCGTCAACAGTCCCTGCATGTCGCCAACTCGGAGCCCTGGTGCCTTCCGCATTGAAGCCTTTTGGACCTCCTTTTTGGGGTCTCGTCGGAAGGCAAGACGCCTTTTTGAACGCCCTCGCAGCCCCAAAATCGAAAAGGCTGGCTGAAGGCTACCCGGGCGCTGGACTCTCCCCTGAAGATTCCTTCCAACCCTGGAGAGGAAGAAAGGTGGCTGATTGAGACTGCCTGATGCAAGCCTTTCGCACTCTGCCTGGCTTCCCCTTCTACAACGGACAGCCTCTTTTCAAAGCCCACTAAACAACGGCCAGGACTATGTATTTATGCTTATACCTATAAACTACGTCCCTCTCAAGGTTATTGGGCCTCGCAGGCTCCAAACTCAGTGCAGACCCCCTCGATCCACGAGATGTCGCCAGGTTTACCGCGCCCGAGGCTGCGCGCTTCCCTGAGGACTCCGTGGCGGCACGCTGGGCCGAGGAGTGGGCCCTTGCTGTAGGGTGTAACGCGCAGTTTTCGTTGGGGCTTCTTAGAGTTTGGGGCGAAAAGGCTTCTGGTTCGAGAGGGCGTGGGAGTCGCATGTTTGACACGTTTGGCCGAGCTTGGGAGGTGCTTCCAAGCGGTCTGTCATGCAGAGGGATGGATGTTCAATGCTTGAGCTTGCCTCTCCAGCCCAGTCTGCACTGGCAAAGCTGCAGGTTCCAGGTTGCCGTTTCTTTGCAGCCCTAGGCAACCACGTAGTTCCCCTTGCGTCCGTAGCTATTTCGAACCCTCAACATCGGCACATCCGCATGCCACGAATCTTGATGAGGGCACGCGAAGCCCTTTGACAGAGCTCTCTTTCTTGGCAGCAGTGGCAGAACCTCGAGAGCTAGTGTAGGGGCCGGAATAATTGCTAATAATCTTCCCTTATGGTTCCTTTATAATTATATTAGAATAACCCCCAAAACCCGATTCTAATTATTATGAAAAGGCCCCTATAGCAGGGGTTGGCTCGGAAGGACAACTTGACACGCTTCGAAGATGAGCTGCTGTCGCTGCTGATGCTGGCTTCGCGAGAGGCCGCTTCAACTGAAGATTGCCTTGTCCTGAACCCGAAGCGCCTAATACTTGGAGGCTCATAGGTGCCTATAACCCTATGATAAGTCAAGCCCTGGCTTTGTGTGCAAGGCATCTCGACTGGGCAACGCTCCTCTGCGGCACCAGCTATGGCAACGTCGTCGGGCTTTGGAAACTTGAGTGTTTTGGGGCTCAAGGCCGAAAGCTCCTTGGCTCATAATCTGGATAATGTGGCAGGAGACACCAGCTTTCTCTCACTGGGAGCGAGCACTCGTCCCAGCAGGATGAGCATCAGCCGTCCGCGACGAGCCACCAGCCAGCAAGCATCATGAGCATTTATGAGAATGAGCCGACACTCTGTCCCACGAGAGTCGGCCAGCGAACGTCGCGAGCATCAACCGCTGCATGATGAGCATGAGCATCGGCTGCCGGCGGATGGTCTTGCATAAAGTCAGAGCCAGCTTTGTTCTCAGATGATCTCGATGACGTCGGCAGGGGTGACTTCAAGTTCTTGCATTGTGCACCACATCAAAGATACATGCACAAGGACAAGCTGTAACAGACTAGCCGGGGCGGCCTTTGGACCAAATAGGATTGTGTAGGATTGCGGGCTGCTGACATGGAGTCTGCGTGTTCGTGTGCTCTCGCTATCCTAGCTTTTCCAATATTCTTCAGGGAACCGCAGTTGCTTCGAGAACGAAACGTCTATGATGACCGTTTTGCCTTCTACACACACATTGCCATGTGGACTCGAGATGGCAGAGGCTCGGCTCCCGAAACGTAGCTATGTGCCCTAGGAGCCCGAAACACCCTTGGAGCTCTAGAGGCCTGAGAGGTAGAGCCGGGATTCTTTGACAGCTTGGCTGAGGTGGAGTTCCATCCAGAGGCTGCCGCGCGTGCGTTGGGGCATTGGGGTTGAATGTCTCGTTGAACGGTTAGGCAGGTGAGGCACATGTTGGCACCCACATTTTCGGCAAACCCTTTTTGCGTGGATTGCAGCTTGCTCAGAGCCGTGCAGCAGCTTGCTCAGAGCCGTGCAGCTTAAGGAAGCCGGGTGTGTGGAAGGGTCACCCATGGCCCCTTGTGCACAACCGCGCCTGGCTTTGTGTGCCAAGCAGTGGCAGATCAGCAGCACCAAAGCGCATCCTACCTAAACCACCTGTCTTTTGTACACCCTCATGAAGAATATCAATAACAAGAGCAAGAACAAGAACAAGAACAATAACAATAACAATGACAATAACAATAACAATAACAATACAAAGAACAATAACAATAACAATGACAATGACAACAACAATAACAATAACAATACAAATAACAATAACAATAACAATATCAATATCAATAACAATAGCAATAAAAATCTTCATAGTAGTCATAATCGTAATAATAATGATGATGATGATGATGATGATAACAATAAACCTGCACCTGCTCAACCCAGTCCGCAACGCCTAAAGCGCATCCTACCTAAACCACCTGTTTTTTGTACACCCTCATGAAGAATATCAATAACAAGAGCAAGAACAATAACAAGAACAATAACAATAACAATAACAATGACAATAACAATAGCAAATAACAATAACAATAACAATCCAAATAACAATAACAATAACAATATCAATATCAATAACAATAGCAATAAAAATCTTCATAGTAGTCATAATCGTAATAATAATAGTAATAATAATAATAATGATGATGATGATGATGATGATAACAATAAACCTGCACCTGCTCAACCCAGTCCGCAACGCCTGCGAAGAGCAGGCAGCTCTTCTTGGGCTCTTCCGCTGCTCTGCGGGCAAGGCCCTTCCCATCGAGTGTTTTCATTGTGGCGGCCTTGATCCGGAGAAATTCTGGCCGCGACTTCGCCCCAAAACTCCATGTGTATGCAGGAGATCTGCCAAGACGGACTGGAGAAGTCCTTCAGCGAGGTGACCAACAGGTGAGGAGACCATGGTGGCATAAGAACTGTTATCCACTTTCGGGGGCAAAGGCCTTATGCCCAGAGCTGCAGACACTCTCAAGAGCAAAACTGCCCACAACACGTCCCGAGACTGCAGGTGTTGTGCCGCTCAGCAATCAATCAGAAACTCAGGGGGGACCTGTACAACAGTGCGAGGTTCCTAGAAGGGTGGCCCCTCAAACCCCGAAACTAAACTGATTTTTGGTGTCAATGACTTGTTTATGTGGCATTCTTGATGAAGGAAACATGAACTTTCAGGGTGGAACCGGATCCGAAGATTCTCTTGAGTAGGCCCTAATTCGGCAGCAGGTCTCGGGATATCCTCGAGGCTTGCATTCGCAAGAAGGCCCACGATGCCCCTCGGCCGAAGTGGCTCACTGGTGCTTAAAGGGCAGAGAGGCCATGAATATGGGTAGTTCTCTAAATGAGGGTCCTCTTCGTGGGGGGTGCGTTTTATGCGGTGCCGTACTCTTTCTCTCTCCGTATAGCCTATAGGACGCAAAAAGGGACCCAAATTTGGAGAACTACCAATGTAGGTGCATATCGGGATCATTTGAGGGTCTGATGTTGCAAGGCGCACAACCTGGGGCTCTGACCCGCGAGTTGATCCCAAGCCCAAAGCCCCGACGAGCCTGGAGATCGCGAAGAGCCCCAAACCTTCTTGCATGAAGGGCAATTGTGGGTGTGTGTCTGTGTGTATAGATCTATAATATTCCACGACAAAACCCCATTGCTTCGGCAAGAGGAGTCCATCCTCTAGATAAGAGGTTCACTCCGGATGTGGGATTTTTGCTGGGGGATGGCACCTCCTTGGACAGCTGTACTCACATGCTGGGTACTGTAATGCAGGAGCCTTCATAATTGCCAGTTATCTACCACTGACCTTTTCCTCTCGGACCCCGTTTTAGGCTAAGGGTGTCTCATGAGGCTAAGGGTGCCTCAATGTGACAGGATGCCGACTTCGACTATGACCAGGACTTGCGTTCGCAGCACCATACGGCTTGAGGAAAGCCGAGTCTTCCGTAAACCCCATTCAGAATGGCTGAAGTCAGTGGTACTGGTCCGCGTGGCAGTAGTCCCGCTTGCCTTCTGGGTTTCCTTGCCTATGTACTGTTGTGTGCAGGTGAAGGGGTTTATCTTTCGGAGCGCGCCTGCATTTGGAGGCCATGCCGTGGTAGAGCACTTACCGCCGCCCGGGTCTAGGTGCGTCCGCAAGCTCCGAACTCCAAACCAGACTCACTAAACCCTAAACCCTAAACACTTGTACCAGGACCTGCCTTTTGCTCCGGAGCTGCGGCAGCTACTTGAGTCGGTTGAGGTGGCTTGCGAGGGGGGGTCCAGGGTTGAGTTCTCAGTGGGGGGAAGGCTGCAGCTTAGCTGGCGGTGTGCGATTTGTTAACCAAAACCCTCAAATTTTGTTAGTGGTGCATTGTTGGGCTGCTTTTGAGGGACGATATAGGCTTTCAGAACCCCGTATTTGGGAACCAGTACATCTGGTAGCGGGTAGTTTTCGACAATAGCTGTACCTTTGTCCAGCAATGTCCGATGTATGACGTGAGAACATGCCAGAACCACAATCAATCGTCAGCACATCCAAAGGGGTGCGACCGTGCTACCCTCCATTGACCTTTCAGGGGCCGCCTTAGGGCCTTTAAAGGGCGTTCAGACATGAGTCAGCACACTTGTGGGGCTGACTAGGGGTCCGAAGAGGCGCCTTTGAAGGGTGGACCTTTCAGTTCAGGGTGCCAGCCCCCTGACAGGCCGAGAGAGCACGGCTCCAGCACCAAGAAGCCAAGGCCGTGCACAGAGCTTCAAAAGCGCTAAAGTCGAGGGACATGTAGCCTGACATCGATTGCAACCTACGGGTTGGAAACTGGATCTAGTTAGAGTCCGAACTTGTTGCTGCTTGTTTTGCTTCGAATCGATTGAAAGCTTTCGTAACTTGGCAGGCCTCCGGGGCGTGGGGGCTTTGGCTCGCTCAAATGTAGGGGCCTTCGAGCAGTGCTTTCATACCTTTAGGTCTCGCCATGCAGCTTGCTTTGGCCTGGCGAAGCCTTTCAAATAGCCAAGGGTTGCCCTGCCGGGTTTGGAAGTACAGGCAAAGTGTCGGCTGCGTCGGCTTGCAATCGGATAACTAGATAGATATATGTATGTATGTGTATATATATATATATATATATATATATATACGTAGGCGAGAAAGAGAGAGCGAGAGAGAGAGAGAGAGAGAGAGACACATGGCAAGACGCAATGATCTTACACGCCTTTCTTCCGGCCCGAAAGAGGTCGGTCACCTGGTGCTGGCGCTGACGGCCCCGCGTTTCCGGAAGACCTGGAAGCCGCTGGTTGCTTTAGGCAGAGAGAGCGCCGGGGGGGGGGGGGGAAACCCAAAAGACAGCAATAATAGGAGTACATAGCAATATATAGTAGCACATGGAAACATATTACTATATATAGTCATATATACTAATCTGTAGTAATATTTTGTAATGATCGTAATAACGAACGAAACGAATAGCAATACTAATGAGAATCAGGGCGCCTGCAAGTGTGTCGACTGAGTGGCGCTGTGTCGGAGCTTGCACCTGGCCCCCAGCAAGCCTACTGAAGCAGCTTTCTGCGATTGTCGTGGAGCCACATTGCCCCTCAATCCCCGCATGCGAAATCCCAAACCTGAGGCCCCTCACCTGGCACACTTAAGGAGAGAGAGCAACTTTGCAATGAGAAGAGTTTCTTTGATGGCGCGTCGCTGGGCGTTTGCTGTTGAGCCAGCCGGTCGCCTTCACTGTGGTTTTTCCAGTGATGGCGCTCGGCTGGCTCAACACCAGCATAGCGCGATAGCTGTGAACAGACCCTGTAGCAAGACTGAGTTGCAAGGAGAGCGGACGCACATGAAGGCCGGTCCTTCTGCATGTCCATCCGCTCTGCTTTCAGCTGAAGGGAAAGCTCGAGAAGCACGAGGGCCAGGGCAAGGAGCACATGACAAGAAGTTCGCGAAGCGAGGCAAGAATATCAAGGAGAAGATTGTGAAAAATGGACCGCAGGGACGACTCGCAGTGCCGGCCTTTCTTCCACGAATGAGACAGCGAACTTTGACGGGTGAACCGGCTGACAGGTGTTTTGTATGTTGTGGTGTCCGGCCGAGACTTCCGAAGCTTTGCTGGACATCCATGACGCCACCGGGTGCCATCTCACCCCACCTGTCCTCTTAAACCTAAAGCCCTAGAATTCCCAGAGCTCCCCAAAACGCCGCGAAAAATGTCACAGTACACCAGTAATAATGTTAAAAATGTATGTATATATATATATATAAGTCATAATGTACATAGAAAGAATGCTTACATGTATATTTGGAAAAGCAGGCCTGGAGCCGGAGCAGCTGCGGCCCGCCGCACTCCGCAGCCTCGGCGGCTTCTTCGCCGCCGCCGAGAGCCTTGCCGAGGCTGCGGCGCTGCAGGGGTCAGGGGTTTAGGGGTGTAGGGTTCAGGGTTTAGGGGTTTAGGGGGTTTAGGGTTTCGGGTTGAGAGTTCAGGGTTAGGGGTTTAGGGGTTTAGGGGTTTAGGGTTTAGGGTTTAGGGTTTAGGGTTTAGGGTTTGATGTACTTAGGCACGAGTCCTCGACGCGCAAACAAACAGCATCTTAGGCGCTGATGGGCTTTGGGACTAGGGCGGGAGAGGGTTGAATTTGGCAGACAGGCTCGCGAGTAGGTCGTCCAACTAACGGCGCATAACGACACATCGGTTCCGCGGTCCTCAGCTGTCCGCCGCCGCGGAGAAGGGTAAAAAAAGCGGGGGCCTTCCAGCTGCTTCCAGCCTAGCTGCAGGCCGAGCTTCTTGAGCGTTGCGCAGCACCCGGGCTGCACCGGACTGCCAGAGACTGGCCGAGGTACTGCAAGCCTTGAACCCGGTATCCTTCAGAAACATTTTTATCCCCAGCACCCGAACGCCCTCAACTCTCAACCTTCAGTGCAAAGTCTCCGACAATCGACCCTTGACGCTACTGAGGCGGTGTTCCCCAGCCGCTGTGGAACTCCGCTGGCCGGGTTGGGTGGAGCTTTCAAGGCACCTGGCAAGTCCTTCAGCACTTGGGTAACCTCAGGGGTCTTAGCAAGGGTTGCTTATCGGCTACCGAAGCTACGTGCATTCTCATGTTTCAGAGAATTTTTTGTTGGGAAGGCTGAGGCTGCTATTGGGTTGGTGCCCTCGTGAGGGAAATTTGCACCAAGAGCTTGTGCCCGCAGCGCGGTGCGACTTCGTCTAGGCAGGTGGCCACAACAGAACCTTGAGCCCTGCATCCTGGCCCTCAGGGTGTGTGAGTGTTGCTCTGAGATGCTCTGAGTACTTGTCTGCTAAGCCTGGGGGGTGCCCTAAGATACTCGGAAACAACCACAGAGCTTCACTGAGAATCTGCAACCGGGATGACAGATGCACCCACACTCCTACACGACCCCATTCAAAAGCGAAGCCAAGGCCGGGCTGGACATCTGATCTATCAAGAACCGTCACCCCAATCGCCCCAAATTCCTTGAAGATCCCCATGCCCTGAGGCTCCAAAGCCTAAACTCCCTGCATCAAGCCTTCCTCGTGGGCAAGAGGCCATCACGCAGGGCCTTGTCGAACGCTCCGTGGAGGCGTTGCGTGACGTTTCAGGGCTGGAGGTCAAGGTTAAGGGGGGGCTCAGAATTAAACCCGCCATTCGCAAACCCATGGCAGCGTGCAAAGGGCAGAGTGGCCAGCTGCTAGAGGCTCCCTTCTCCAGACCCTCAACTCTACACGTGAACCCTGCACATCCCTGCACCATAAATCCACCCTAACCCCTAAACGCTTGAGGCCAAGCTGCTCCTCCTTGCCGCCCTTTCAGGCGGGGCGCGGGAACATCCTCAGCGCAGGATCACTAGACCCTGCGCCCCGAACTCTCTAAACCCATTATGTGTTCTGTCTACATGCGCTGGACGCGAGAGCCTTGCAAGAACCGAATTGCTGGGTGGTTATTGCTTTTGTGTTGTATTGCATCAGTTTCTTGCAGGGCATGCATGAGGTCTATGGATTCTGCTGTGACGTTGGTGTCTAGGCTTTGGGGTGTTTTTGTCTCCGCCCGAGCTGTCCTCCCCCTGTCCCATTTCAGCCCGTAGGGCCTCCCCCTGTGGAGTTCTGCGTGCGGCAATGGCAAAAAACCGAAGAGAGCCCTAAACCCTAAAAAAAAAACCCTAAACCCTAAACCCTAAACCCTAAACCCTAAACCCTAAACCCTAAACCCTAAACCCTAAACCCTAAACCCTAAACCCGGAAAGCAACGGGAGCGCTGAGCACTGCTGGCAGAGAGCGCGTGCCAAACCCTAAGCCCTAAGCTCTCAACCCTCAACCCTCAACCCTCAACCCTCAACCCTCAACCCTCAACCCTCAACCCTCAACCCTCAACCCTCAACCCTCAACCCTCAACCCTCAACCCTCAACTCTCAACCTCCTCAACCCCCAACCCCCTCAACCCTCAACCCCCTCAACCCTCAACCCTCAACCCTCAACCCTCAACCCTGAACCCTGAACCCTAAACCAGGCGAGCACCTCTTCCTCCTCGGCTCCCCGGGCACGGCGAAAAGCCTCCTGGCCCGACGGCTCTCTCAGGCTGGTCGGGTTTGGGTTGGGGTTTAGGGATTAGAGTACCCCCTGTGAGAATCCCTCTTCAGGACTGCTAGCATAAGGGGGAACATCCCAAGGTTGCCGGATCAAAGTTGAAGGGTTTGCAAAATCTTCGACCGCTAAAAGGGTATATGTGGAGGTTTACGAAAAGTAAGGTGCCCCCAAGAAAGACCCCCAAACAGTAGGATTACCGCAAGGACCACAATTAAGGTACCCCCTAATCTCGGAAACCCCCCATGTGTCACATGATGTCCAGGTGTGCGAAGGTAGCTTCTTCGAGCGCCTGCTGACGAGATTCTCGGTGCCCGAGGACGGGGAGAAACCAAGCCTAGGGTTTTGGGTTTGGGGTTTGGGTTTTGGGGTTTGGGTTTGGGGTTTGGGGTTTAGGGTTTAGGGTTTAAGGTTCAAACGACAGCGCAAGAGGGCCCGAAGCTCTCAACCCAAGAGCTCGAAGATGCGGTGGATTGGAGTCCAGCTCCTCTAAGCCTATTCTGCCAACCGATCGAACCATGAGGCAAGACTCCTACTTTCAGAGCTTTGCGAGATCTGCTCCCAACTGCCGCATGCTCCGAACTAGATTTCAGCTGCGAGCCCACCCTCCTATGATGGTGCAGGTATCTTCCGCAAAGCTTCGTATTTTGATTTTGGGCGAGCTGCAGCCAACCTGCTGTCGTAGGAGTGCTGATGGCAGGCCGAATGTCCGTGAAGATGTGAGCACCACCCTTACACCCCCCTTACAACACCCCCTCACACCCCCCTTACACCCCCCTCACACTCCCCCAAAAGACAGGAGCTCTTCGGCCCGCTGTCGCTGCAGGCCCTGGAAGAGGAGCTGCGGCTCAGGGCTTAGGGTTGAGGGTTTAGGGTTCAGGGTGTACAGAGTCTGGGTTCAACAAAAAGGGTTTAGGGTTCAGGGTTGAGGCTTGAGGTTTGAGGGTTTAGGGTGTAGGGTGGGTAGCTTCGTAGGATTGTAGTGCTCATAGGGATGGGGCCTCCCTCCTCGCAAAACCTTGTGAGGCTGTCCGACGCGAGATTAGAGAAGTGACTCTTCGAAAAAGAGCCGACCAACGGGGACGCATGTAAGGTCTTAAGACATTTGGGCTGCCGGGACGTAGGATAGGCAAGGTTGGTGTTGCAACCGTGCCCCCTTGAAGCCTGACTTGCCGCTTCATTCCCTTTTGCAGCAGGTCTCGCCCTTAAACTAGGACCTGAGTTTCAGCCAAAGAGGTCACCCTTTCTATTCCCAGGTTACTCTTGGGAAGGTCTAGCAAAGGTTTGCCGTATCTACAGAACTGAAAATAGGGCTCATAGATAGACCTGACAACATGGCTTTCTGGAAGACACTGGCGGGCTCAGAGCTGCTCCATGCGCATAGCTTGGTGGTTTTATGGTTTCGGGTGTGGGGTTTTAGGGATTCAGGGCTTAGAGGATATCTAGGTGGAGCGATGGCACAGATCAAAGGAGCGGGGCAAAGACCTTCGCGTCGGCTCACCTAGTGCCCCGCCTGCTTACCTGGAGTCGCCGCGCAGGAGCTCGGAGGAGGTGCCCAGGGTGCCCACGCTTCCGCCAGCAAAGCACAGGAAGCACCGCCGAACCTCCGGAGACCTCGGTGCCCTGCGCAGGGAGCCTCGTGCACGCGTTGTGATCGGGAAGCACTGGAAGCACTGTGAGGCAGGAGATGCATGCAACTACTGTCATCTTCCGCACAGTCCTGGCCCGAAGTTGGGCAAGCGGCAGCGCCGCATCGTCGAAGAGATGCCCAAAGCCGACTTTACCCGCTTGGCCTTTCAGCTAGAGGGCAAGGTCCGCACCATGGAGCTTCAGGGCACTGGGCATCTTGGAAAGCGAGATGCGTCCTGAGGGCACGCCGGCACCAGCAGGCTGCTTTTCATGGCTGCAAGAAGGTTTGAAAGGCTTCATCGGGGCACCTGTATAGGAACTTTCTTTTGCTGCCGCCGGTTGGATTCCCGCACCCTGGCCAGCAGCACTGACGAGACCCTGAGGATTTGGGACTTCACCATTCAAAAGTGCATGCGCAGGGACACGCTCATGTGTCCCTGTAATGTGTGCATGCACTTTGGAATGGTGAAGTCCCAAATCTTCAGGGTGTTGTCTCGACTACTGCTTTTTGAAGCGTCCCAGCCTCGAATGCACGTGCAAGCGGCTGAGTATCTGTCAGTTTGGAAAGATACAGCCTGGATGGGCAAACAACCTTGCCCAGGAACTTGAGTCGAAGCCATTGGATCTCAGGTAAGGTTGAGGCTTCGGGACTTGGTTTCGTGTCCTGGTTTTTCGCCCCAGCACAGATTGACGGGTTTAGGGCAACCCTTTCACACCATCTTAGAGGTTACTAAGGCTTCCAAGTCCAGGGCTCCAATGCGCAGGATGAGCTGCGGAGGAAGACCCGGGGCTACCTGCCCGAAGCAGATGTGGCTTTCATCGACGAGATCTTCAAGGCACGGCATCTTTGTTGCATGGCTTGTACTTGTGCGGCCGGGGTTGTTGCCTGTGCGAACAAGCAACCGTGCCTGCTGATGTGTGGAGTTGGCAAACAGCCCTTGATGCCTGGAGGCCAACTCCTCTATCCTCAACGCGCTGTTGATGATACTGAACGAACGCTGCTTCGACAATGGCGACCAGCGCGCGACTCTGATGCAGGAACACCTTGTTGGGCTCCCACAGCACCTTTTATATATGTATATATATATATGTATGTATATTTATATGTGTATATGTATATGGGTATGTGTATAAGCCTTATGTAGTCCACCGTCGTAATCCAACAACTCACGCGGTGCAGGCTTACAAAGGGTTTTTGCTACTGGAAGAAGAGACCCATGCGCACCCGGCAGCTTGCAGGCTTGAAGTCGCGCAAGAGGGCCTTGCGACTTCTTGCTAACTTTGCTCTGGTTGTCTGCAGCATCCTGTCATGAGCCTCGCAGAAAAGCCACGAACAACCCCCCCACATCCCACCACTCGAGAGGCCATGGAACCCGAAATGCCGGGCAGCCATTAACAGCCGACGAAGTCGGACCGGTCACGAGCACGAGATACAAAAAACACGGCAGTTCCTGATGTCAGAAAGTTCTTTGACTCACAATACTAAGACACGCTCGGCCCCTAGAAATTTGTGCGATTTCCGGTCTCGGGTTCGGATTGTACATAGGGTCGCACGCGCCAGCAAGCCAAAACCGACACGATGCGAGATGGATAGCCCATGGCCGACCGATCATGGGAGTTTTTGGGCCACTCACACAGCAAGAATCCTGACACCCCTAAGCCCCTCAGCCCCCCTAAGCCAGAAGAGCACCGACCGTTCCCCTGTGCTTCAGGTTCCCGTGCCGCTGTGGTGCGCCGCAGCGGCGTCGAATGAGCTCCCAGTCGCTCGGAGCGCAAGTTGCGCGCGCTTGGGTGTTGGAGTTTTGACTGAGGCTTCCATGCTTCATGGGCTCTTGCAGGTTTTGGAGGTTTTGAGTTGCTTTTTCTCCGCATTTCGCGGCCTAAGGCCCTCCAGGGTCTTGGGTTGACTTGAGACAAGAAGCCAGGCAAAACGGGTCAGCACAAGAACCCTGAGCAACGATGTGTGCCATCGCCAAGAATCGCCAAGGTGAGCAGCTGGTTCCTCACCCTAAACCCTGAACCCTAAACCTTACAGTAAACCTTAAACCCTAAACCCTAGCAGAAACCCTAAACCCTTTCCCCCAAACCCCAAACCCTAAAACCCTAAAACCCTAAACCCTATACCCTAAACCCTAAACCCTAAACCGTGCCTCCAGGACACCGACGAGCTGGATGCGCTCTACGACCGCTTCCTCCTGCGCCGGTGCGTGAACCGCATCTCAAAGAGGCGGCAGGAGGGTTTAGGGTTTAGGGTTTAGGGATTAGGGTTTGGGGTTTGGAGTTTGGGGTTTAGGGGTGAGGGTTCCCTGGTAGCAATGAGACCAGATGCAGAAGGGGTTAGGGTTCAGCGTTTAGCGCCCGAAAAAGGAGAGAGCCCGGGTTAACGGGGTTTAGAACTCTGCTTATGCCCCCTGACAAACAGCAACAACCTAATGCACAAAGCCCCAGATCCCTGAAAAGTCCTGGCCCACAGAGCCGCAGTCGTATCCCCCAAGCACACGGGAGGGCCCGAAGAGTCTCGAAACCTTCGATTGAAGGTCTCAGAGAAGTCACAGCGGGGGAGTATGCAAGTAAAGCCATAAGTCCTAAACTCAGAGCCCTGAACCGGGTTTAGTGTTCAGGGTTCAGGGTTCAGGGTTCAGGGTAACCCGTAAACACCCATTGCCGGTTGGGGCATTGCCTCGAGCATGGCTTGTCCGAGCGTGAGCGATGAAGCCGTGGGCTCTCAATCCCAAATGCATATACCCGATAGACCCTAAAACCCTGAACCCCGGAGCGATGGTGGGAGGTGTTTGTGGCCAGCCTGAGAGGAATCTGAGAGCAGTAGTAAACTCAAGAGCAGCATCAAGGAATGGGTAGAGAGCAGAGGGTTAAAGTCGCGATTCTGGCACAGGTCAGTGCAGAACTTTCTGCGGTTGACGCTGGACAAGGAGGTGTCTCGGAAAGGATATGCCGTTTTCTTTTAGGGTGCACGTTCTTCGCGGCCCGAAACCTTAGCTCAAGCTCCTGAGCAACAGCTCATCGAGAATCAGATGGAGGGCGGAATCAACCCAAGCAATCTTCAAGACAGGAACCATTTGTAATTCCCCTACTGCCTAGTTAAGGGCCCTGATGATAAAACATGTTTGGGAATGGTTGAAAGGTATAGCTTGTAAAGCCAAGGGCGGTTTGGGGTCATTTGCCACCAGGAGCAGCGCGGATTGGCGAGCGTGCACAAAAGGTTAGTTGCGCGGTATCCTGAACCCCCGAGCTGAACCCCAAAGCCGCAAAACCGACAAAACCGTCTGGAGCCTTGCGCCGTGTGCAACAGTCGAGCCCCCAAAGCCCCCAAAGCCTGACATATCGGCAGTCCCAAAGTCTCAGGAGGATGAGGACACCTTCAACGCCGACCAGCCGCACGTGAAGCCCTTGCTGTCGATGGAGGTTGCCGGGGGCTTTGAGATTCGAGCTTAGGGTTTGTATTTGGGTTTAGGCTGAAGGGTTCAGGGTCAGGGTGCCAAGACGTGGGGTTGATTTCAGCTCGTATGAGCGAACTTCAATCACTTCCCGCCGGCGCAGCTCCAACCCTAAAGCCCCACCATCCCAAAGCGCAAATCCTTAAAGCCTTAAACTTAAAGCCTTAAACTTGACTTCACTTTCTGGTTCTAAGTAGAGATGGCGGGAATGGGGTACCCTATGTAATCCCTTAAAGATTATAGACATTTTTGTCTATATATACATGTATATATATATATATATGTATACATATATATATATATAGAAATATGTATTTATAGGGGGATATAAGGTGCCTAATTCCCTCATTCCCTACTAAGAACCAGGGAGGCTAAGCCTGAAGCAAGAGGACTCGATCGCCTTGCAGAAGAGGGCCCGGAAGGCCTGCCAGAAACTGGGCTGTTGCTGAGGAACCGAAGCTGAGTGAATCTGAGTTACCATAATTTGGGAAGCTGAGTTAATCTGAGTTACCATCTTTTGGGACACCTGGTTCGTCCTGCCATACTGGCGGTAGTTTCATGTACGCTCCTAGATGTAAGTGTTTTGGGTCCAGGGTTTCGGGAAAGGGCTGAGGATGCACCCCTTACCCCAAAAATTTGGGGTTGCCTTTGGGGTTGAGGGTTGTCACCAGCAAAACTCGAGGTTTGGAGAGTGTGGGTCTCAGGATACCAAAAAATGTCCGTGCGGGCACAGGGGGTGCACCCGACGAATGATACCCAATGCCTTTGCAAATGCTTGCGCACTTGCATCTTCGGGGCCAAGAGTCTTAGTTTTCCGTAACCTCGAGACCCAAATCCAGACCCTAAACCTCAAACACCCAAGCTGAGCTTGCGGGGCCAAGAAAAATCATTTTCCTGAAGACTCGGCGGTCATGTGTGCGCCTCTTCAGCTCGACGTAGGCACCCCCCTCACATAAGAAAGCCACAAGCCCTAAAGCCCGAAGCCCTAAAGCGAGGACCCCCAAACCCTGCACCTACCAAAAGAAGACTTCTACTGTCTGCTCTCAACCCGAACCCTCCACCATGAGTCTTCCATGATGCAGGTGGAGTTCCCAGACTCCCTGTTGGAGGTGGTGGCCGAGCTGCGTGAGTTCTTGGCAGAGGAGGGGAGGAGGGCTTCAAGATTTCAGATAGGTGGTTTCACTTCCTTAAGATGCCCATCCTGAAACCTTAAATCCTTCCGAAGTCCAGCTGACCTGGGCTGTGGCAGGGACACTGGGGATGCCAGGGCCACGGCAAGGCGCGAGGTGGAGATGACGATTTGGAGAAGGTCGGCAGACGCTCATCGAGGAGATCTCCTCGGACACGGAACGGTGTCCATCCAAGTCGCCAACAGCAGTTCCGTTGCTGGTGGCCCAAAGGGAGGGGGAAGGGGGGGGGAGTCAGCGCTGAGGTGCTACCCTGTGAGATTGGGATGTGTGCATCTGTGTCTTTTTGTCTGGGGACGCAGATACTGATGATGATGATGATGATGATGATGATGAGGATGGTGATGATGATGCTGAAAGCAGCCCAAGCTCAAACCGCGAGATATCCCCAAGCCCAGCCCCAGAAACGCGGAGGCATCATTGAGTGCCTCCAAGCGCTGCATGCATGACACATGGTTCTTGTGCTGTCCCCGCTGTCTCCACTCGTCTCTGCGTCCCTGTCGATCAAGTGGGGCCTCCTGGTGGAGAAAACTTGTTGCACGTCCGCATTCCTGCAGACGTCGTGAATAGTTGAAGGCCAACCGGCAAGATGGAGCGAGACGATTTGGTGCTCTTGACCCTCTGTGTGGTTGTGACCACTGTGAGGATCGATGTCGGCTGGTTTGTTGCCTAACCCCAGAATCCTTAAGAGCCCTTATGCCCTGAGGCCCAAAAGCCCTAAAATCCCGAGGAGGCCGAGCCGCGCTTCGAAGTCTCCGACCGCCGGTTGGCGAAGGCCAGTGGCCTTCAGTGTTCAGGGTTGACAGTTGGGGGTTTACGAGATAGACTTCAAGAGGTCTGGAGGTAAGAAAAGGGGGTACCTTCTTGGGTCCTTATGATAAGGGAATCCTACTATTTGGGTGCTTTTTTTTTTAGGGGCCCCTTATGTTCGTAAACCCCCAGTTCACGGCCGGCGAACCTAAACGATTGCAAGAATCCCCTTAACAGGACGCAATCTTTGCAAGAGCACCTTAACCCTAAACCCTCAACTCCAAACCCTGAACCCTAAACCCCTGAACCCTGAACCCTGAGCCCTAAACCCTCAACTCTAAGCCCTGAACCCTTGAACCCTGACCCCTGAACTCCCTAGTTCGGAAATCCCTGCAAGCTGGGCGTCTCCGCTTCCGGGCGTAGGAGGGGTGTGTCAACCCAGGCCCAGAGGGCCCAACGCCGCTGAATCCCCTGAGTTTTGTTTTGGGTAACCCTAAACCCTAAGAGCCATGCAAAACACCTAGTTGAGGGGGTTTTCGGGTTTAGGGTTTGCGGGTTCAAAAAGGGTCTAGGGTTAAACAGGGTTTCGGGTTCCAGAAAACAGCAGTAACAACCCAGTGTGTATGTTCCGAGCCCCGCAAAGAGGCAGTGCGCCTTCTCCGCATCGCTGCGGCTGCTGCAGGTCCGGGGCTTCTCTGGGTTTAGGGTCTAGGGTTTAGGGTTTAGGGTTTGGGGTTTAGGGTTTAGGGTTTGGAGTGTAGGGTTTAGGGATGCTATGCAGGGTTGAGGTGTAGGGTTTCCGGGTGGTTTCCGGAAATATTCGGGGGTTCAGGGTTTACAGGCGGAGACCCCAAAATTTGCCGGAATTGCTATTTCCCAAGAAGCCGCCCAACAACCATCCCAGATGCCCCCACTTGGAGGTTCATGGGTACTCGCAAGTAGGGTTCTAAGTGCCCTAAAGAAGGTCATGACCATACTTACCTTACTTCTATCCCTTACCCACACCCACCCCCCAACCCCCCTCACCCCCCACCCCCCCCACCCCCGAACCTCCAAGCAGAGCCCCCAACTTCTGCACCCAGGCGGTTCCAGGGTCATCGAGTCCGACCTCCTCCTCTTGCGGCACGTCTTCTGGGATCGGGATCCCGCCCAAGGCGCAGCCTGGAGGATAGAGGCTTTTTGGCGTTGAGGGCACCCCCCCGGTTTGAAGACAAGACCCCTCAAGTTCGAAGTGTAAGTAGGCTTCGGGCGTGTAAGGGGGGGAGGGGCCTCCGGGCATCATAATGCTTGAGCCTGCCGGAGGCCAGCTCGTGGTGGAGTGGCTGCTTCGCCGCTTCGCCGACAGCGGCTCTGGGCAAAAGGCACCTTGGGGGGGGAGTGTCGAAGTCCAAGCCAAGAAGCTCCTTTGGCCCTGGAGGGTTTGGAGAGGCAAGGTTCCGGAGCACCTGCCCATGACCAACCATGAAGGCCGAGGTTCCCCATCCCCCTTAACATTTTCCCCGCAGCACCAAAAAATGTGGGGCCAACGTTGAGGTGAGGGAGAGAAGCGCGTCAATTGAATGCCATGTTCCCTTGCTGAAAAGGTTCGGTGCGCACCCTCAGGAGCCTTTGGCTTCATGGCAGACATGTGGGCTCGAACCTCAAGCCTGTTGTCTGTGCAATCCTTGGTTCGTTTATGTCAGCCTTGTGCCGGATATGCTCCATCTCGGCCGCTCTCCTGGCCGCGGAAGCTCTTCGTGACGATCTACAGCCAGCCCCTAGCTTCCATCAGACGTTGTTCAAGGCGGTTTTTTCTGCTCAAGAACCTCCCTTCCCACCCTTTCCCCTCCGCCGCCCTTCGGCCGCCACAGACTCGAGCTGCAGGCCCATCAGTTACTGGCTGATCATGTGGCAACTCCCGAGCTGGAGCCTGGACATGACTTCGCCTACGTGACGAGGATCTGGGATTCCAGGTTGCTGAAAGCACAACCCGGCCAAAAGCCTTTTAAATCCCATCCCAGCAGCATTAGCTCTGCCATTGTGTAGATTTCAGAATACAGGTCCGGCATGCGAATAGTCACAGGACTCGCCTCTACCCTGTTCGCGTGCAGGAAAGCCTTCGTGCCCAAAGCGTTGTTTCTGGATGGCATGAGCTGTGAGACCGGCGATCCCATCACAATCACGCATGACCCGCGCGCTTCGTCCTCGACAGGCCCGGGCGCTTTGCAAAGTTTCGTAACTGGAAGTGAGCAGGGAGTCCGGCATGTAAGAGTGCCCGAAACACTGCGTGCCACCCTTCAAACTCCAGACCCAAACTCAGCAGCCTCCTAACTGACCTGATGCCCCAAGCAGTTCTCCCGATGTAAGTAGTGGGGCAATGCCTCCTTTCTCTTTGCTCCCTTCGAAGGCAGCGGCGCCCTGGCCTACGGCCGGAATGAGCGCACTGGCCAGCGCGGCTGGCCCCTGGTCCCACAGATAGGGGTAGGTTCCTAGGTAGGATTCGGGGGTGACCTTCTTGAAGAAGGTCGACATCCCCAAGGGTCCCCCAGATGCTACCCCCTGTAGTTAGGGCTTTCGAGAAGCCCATGGTGGGAAGGGGCCCCAAGCCGGAACCTTTGAGGTTCCCCCTCTCCGCCACCTACCCGATGCCCAGCTCCTTTCTGGAGCGCGAGGGTACTTGGGAGGCCGCCAACTGTCAGGACAGTGGGTGGCGGTTCTGGGATGCATGTACGGGATATTAAATAGAAGGGCTCTGTGACAGCTCAGCTTTGAAGCTGAGAGCCAAGGGTGAGATTGTTGGAGTGTTCTTATGGGCTTTGCATGTTGGATGGCTTAAGGCTCGCCACAACCAATGAAAAAGAAAGGCCCAGAAGCCAAACAAACCCCGAACCCTCAACCCAGACAAAAACCCCTGAAAACTCCCCCAAAACCCCCCCAAAACAACCCCAACACTCCCAAAAAAAAACCCCAAACCCCCCGAAGCCTTGGAGCCAGGACACCTACTTCTCGGACTGGGGCTCTTCCGGCATGAAGGCGCAAACCTTGAAGATCCCTAAGCCCTACCCCCCAATATCCCGAAACTTGGGATGCCCCCCCCCCCCCCCCCCCGCCCTTGCTATGCCAACAGGCCTCAATAGGGATTATAGTACCCCCCTGTGATAATCCCTATTTAAGGACTGGCAGTATAAGGGGGAGCATCCCAACCCTAAACCCTAAGCCCAGTTGTGGCTAGTCACTGGTCTGCTTGGCGAGCGGCAAAAGATCTGAATTGATCTGCCCTGCAGGTCCACTCTGTGCACACGGGCGGAGGCGGCGAGTTCCTGCCCCAGGCCTTACCGCACCTAGAGCGAAGCGCCAAACCTCAAGAAGAGCAACAACTTCAATAATATTTTATGTTACCTCAGAGTTGGGCAGGCCCTAGCCCTTTCCATCTCCATACCAGCAACATCCAGCACGCACCAGGTGCAGAGCGTGAAGCTTGGCCTCACGGCCAAGTCGGACCCCGAACTCATCGGGCCGAAGCTCAACGAGCCCCTCGGGGAAAATTCTGCAAAGCGGGGCCTTTTGGGGTTCAGGGTGTAGTTCAATGTCGGATTCCTGAAGCTTCAGGATTCTAAGAAGGGTTGCAGAATCTGAGGCACAGGCTTCAGGGGTTTCGGAGCCCCGAAGGCGCAACTTGCTATTGTCATCTGCTTCCACACTTGGAATTTCGAGTGGGCCTACTAAGGCAAGGGCTGTTGTGTCCAAGGCCCAACTCTCTCTGCACCTCCGCACGCCAAGCCTTTAGTCCTGCAGCGTTTCGCCACGGTTTCAACCTTATATGAGACCTTGAGATGTTCCCCTTTATACTAACAGTCCTTAGTAGGTTAATAGGGATTATCGTACCCCTATTACACTTCTGATTAAGGGCTGTTCGTATAAGGGGGAACATCCCAACTTAAGACCCAACCACATCGCCACAGATGCGCCCTCGAAATCCAAGGCTTGCTTTAGAGCTGCAGAAAGCCGGAAGTCGCTATGTACTCAGGACCGTGCGCTGCGCAACTGCTCTGGCGGAATTGGGTTTTTTGGGGCTAAGGGGTCTTTTCCAAGCCTGAGCAGGGAATCCTAAATCCTAACCCCAAACCGAGTTTGGGGGGTTAAAAAAGGGTCGGAATAAACATTCCCTTATGGTCCCAGAAAATATATACTCTACTGCCCAAAGAGCTATTCTAATTCTTCAGGCCCCTATGTGACGCTCTTGACAGGAACGGCTGGGAGATCCTTTCCACCGCAGGGCATCGCCTGGAAGTCGAGAATGCCGAGCGCCTCTTTAACGTCGCTGGGCTGGGGCACCGAGGAATGCTCAGGTAGTTCGGAAAAGTTGTTTGTCCAGGTTTTGATGTCATTCCACTAGTGCCGGTGCCTTGGTCCCTGCATCCCGCGCCCTAAACCCTAAACCCTAAACCCTAAACCCTGAACCCTAAACCCTAAACCCTAAACCCTAAACCCTGAACCCTAAATCCTAAACCCTAAACCCTAAACCCTAAACCCTGAACCCTAAACCCTAGACCCTAGACCCTAAACCCTAAACCCTGAGCCCTAAGCCCTAAGCCCTAAACCCCAAGCCCTAAGCCCTAAGCCCTAAGCTCTAAGCCCTAAGCTCCAAGCCCCAAGCCCTAAGCCCTAAGCCCTAAGCCCTAAACCCTATTCTAGGGGTTTCTGTGTAAAAGGGTTTGAAAAACCCAGGAAGTGCGCCGCCTTGGCGACGTGCCGGTGAGCCGCGGCGGTTTGCAGGGGCTGCTCTACAAGTGCAGCGAGAGGAGCCTTGGGTAAAGAGGTGTTGTCCAGGGTCTAGGACGGAAGTGCTTCTTGGTTTGGTGTCAGGGGCTGAGATACTTCCCTTTAAGACTCGGAGGTGCGCGAAACTGATCCCTTTAAGCCATCTTGAAGAAACATCTTGCAGCCACGCAAGCTTTCTGGGTCGTCAGCAGCCAAGGCTCAACGAGACCGAGGGCTGCCGGACCCTCCCAGGCTACCTGGAAGCCGTGTACGAAATGGGGGCGTACCTCATGTCCCTCTCAGAGGACCGGGCGACCGGGCCCTTTCCTCTTTGGTGTCGGTTCTTTGTTGGGTGTCTACCTCATCCCTTATTGCCTATCGGATAGCATCGGCCACAGGAGGCTCGGAAGTACCGGAAGATAAAGAGTCGGCCCATGGGCTTCGTCAGCGCTGGGGGCGCTTCCTTGCAGATCGGCGCCCGGGCTGCCATGAAGGGAAGGTTGCTGACGTATTGGTCAGAAGAGCCTGGCTTTGCAACATTGCTGGGCAAACGAAGGGTTCTACCAAACAGCAGAGCAGTTCGGGCGGTGCGTGGTGGTGGGGTGGTGAAGGGCTCCCTTCGTCAGGGTTTTGTGGGAGCACCTCCGCCCTCATCCGGCGAGACTACCTATCAATCAATCAATCAATCAATCAATGTATATATATATATATATAGATATATATTCATACTTTGTTTGGTGTGTGTGACATACTCTTGCACATACATGCATACATATTTCGAGGGAGCTTGAAGCTCGGTTTTTGTTGTCGCTTGGTGCCTGCAAGGCATCACCAGCCCCAATGCCAGCCACGCGGCGGCGCTTCGCCGGTGCATTGCTCGGCTGCAGGATGAGGCCATTGTGGCAAAGAAGCCCTGAATGATATATTTTTTATGTATTTCCGATACGTATATATATATATATATATACATACCTACATACATACATATATATATATTTATATGGATACGTACATACAGATATGTCAGGATGTGCGCTGCGGGTTCTTTGCGACCAGAAGGGGGGCATGCTTCAGTTGTCTTCTGCTTCCAGGTTGAGGTCGAGAACGAAGATGGGGAGCTCTTTGATGAGCAGCCGGGCAGCGTCACCTCCTTGGGGGACCTCACAAGCTTGTTTCCTCATGCTACGTTTAAAAATTCGGAAGGTTCTGGACAACTCGAGTGTCCCCTTCAACAACACTCCGAACCTTTTTGCGAACACCAAAAACCCTAAACCCTAAACTCGAAACCCTAAGTCGAAACCCTAAACCCTCAACCCCACCCCACTCACCCATTCAAACCCCCTCCCCGGCGACAGATTCTGACATGCCCAGAGAGCCCACCCCGCACATCAGGAACCTCTCTATATTGGTAGGGTTTAGGGTTTAGGGTTGAGGGAAACCCTGAATCCAGAGCTGAGCCACTGGGCAGGACATTGCGGAGACCCCGCCCGGAAGCCGCCGCAAAGGTCCCTCCTTGGCCAAAGTGTCCCACTTTCCCGACGGCCAGCTGGTGGCGCTGTTCCTTGCATGTGTGGGTTCAGGGTTTAGGGTTTAGAGGGTTTAGGGTTTAGGGTTTAGGGTTTAGGGCAAACGGGGATAGTGGGGCTGAGAATGAAGGGCTTTGGACTCTTTTTTGCGGCACGTGGGATTTGTGGGTTTCGGGTTTGTCCAGGCTTTTTGCAAGCAGTGAGGATGCGGATGGAGACCGGGATCATTCTGCAGATGCATCTTTGCAGGTGAACATGTCCAAGATGACACCTATGCGTGCACACACAGGTATGTGAATCAGATTGTCTGTTCTCTGTAGGCTGGTTCCTCTTGGGGGTCCTCTATACCTGAAAACGGGCCCCTAGAATCATAGTGTCCCAGGCCCTCAACCCTACAATCTAGACACGATACCCCATGAGGGGGCGAACAACAAGCTTCAACCCGAAGCCCTCAGACTGGCTCGAAGACCCTGAACCCCTGAACCCTAAAACCCCCTAAACTCCAAGAAGCCCTAAGACCCCGGAATCTTAGAATCCCGAAAAAGCCCTAAAACTTCTGGAATCTTTGAATCCCCCAAAGCCCTAGGACCCTAGAACCTTAGCACCCCGGAATCCCGAAACCTGCCCCTACTTGTTGGGGTTTTAGGGTTGAGGGTTTAGGGTTTAGGGTTTAGGGCCACTTAAGCGCCCCCTTGTTTTGGATGCAGGTTCTCCTTCCTCGCCGTGGGGACCAACCCTGGGCCTTGCATTGAGGGCGGCTGCGCCCACGAGGTTGGTGGCGTCAACGAGACGCCCGGCGCGGGTGCTTTCTGCTGTTGAGGGCTGAATGGGGACATGTTGGAAAACAAACGGAATGTAGACAAAGTATCTGACAAAAAAAAAGGGAGAGAGAGTTGTGAAAGTTTGCAGCAGTAAGAGACCTTTAAGAAAAGGGTTCCTTTAAGGTTCAGGTTTTGCGGTTTAGGAGAGAGGCAGCAGGCAGATGGATCCCTTCATGAGAACTGCCCAGGATGCGGCTGCAGTTTGAGAATCACCTGATTCAGCAAGGCTGCCCGTCAACCCATGTAGTTTTTGGGGAGGCGGTGAGACTTGGAGGCTACTTGCAGACGGGTGTGTGTCTGCCTTGATGAATGCTGCTATGGAACGAGAGAAACGTGGAGTAAACGCTGCAGCCGGAACCAGGGGCTTGTTTCGGGGGGCCCCTCGTTCTGCTTGCGTCTTAGTCGGTTCCTGAGACGTGGTTCCCGTTGCGTGTCACGCTGGTGCCTGATACACCCGTCACCCTAGAAACACGCAAACCAAGCTGAGTATTTCCTGCCTGTGGTGATTGTGCGGTCCACAACATTGGGCAGAAGTGAGGCTTCTTCTCTAGCGACTCTAGCGAAGAGGCAGACCTGACTCCCACCCTCGCCACCTCCAAACCCGACGCCCGAAGCATGTGCACCTGGCCCCTAACCCGAGAAGCTTTAGCGTGCTGACCTAAAGTACAGGCCTGCATCTTGCCGCCCTCAACTGTGAAGTCCCCGCGCCCACAAATTACCATTTCCCTAAGAACCCCTCTAAAAGAATAATTCTCTTCTTTCTTAGGGCAATCCGGGGATCATCATTCTTCGTGTTCTTTGGGCTCTTAAGAGCAAATCATAGAAAAGTGCCCCTTGGCACTTCCCGCTCCAGGCTACGCTTCGAACCCATGCGTCGAGAGCGCGGCCGACTTCCCTCTGGGCAAGGGCACGGCGACGTACACCCAGAGGCTTAGCCCTAAACCCTAAACCCCTAAACCCTAAACCCTAAACCCCTAAACCTCAAACCCTACATCCCAGAGGGTGTTTAAGGGTGTTCAGGGGGGGGGGTATGTAGCCCAAGGTTCCCTAAAGGACCCTGGTAAAGAGGCTGCAGGGCGGCGCCAGCGGCAGCGAGGACCTTTTTTTTGGGGGGGGATTCTTTGGTTTTTGTTCGGCCTTTTTTGGGAGGATATGACATGACATGACTAAGAACCCTATAAAATCAACCCTACAACTATAGTAGACGCTATAACTTTATAAACCGAGAACCTTTATTGGGGTGCCGTTATTTGCCTTCTTCTCTAACTGAACACTCCCCATGAACCTTCAAGTATGAGGGCCCAAGGGCCTGAGCCCCGCAATTTCACTGTAGGCTTCAAGATTCACACGTTGGGTTTTGGGGGCTTCTCAGCTTCAAAGGAGGGGTTTAGGGTTTTGCCTTTTGCCTGGGAAGGAAGACCGCGTGACGTGCCAGACGGCCGTGACCCAGTTCTTGGACAGCGACCTCACCCTGAGGAAGTGGAAGGCAGAGTCCGGCTGCTCTCAGCTCCCCGGCCCAAGGTTTAGGGTTTAGGGTTTAGGGTTGCTGCAACCGTGCTATTGAGACTACAGGCGTTGATCGGCAACTCCTGTAAGGGGAGCCCTTCCTTGACGAACCGGGATAGCAGGAGTAGTAGCGACGGAGAGGCCTAAGGCCGCACACGCACACAACGGTGTGTCGTTCAAGATGCTGCATGTCAACCCTAGGCCCCACACCCCCAAAGAAAAACTCCCCGCCGCCAAGAGCACCTAAGCCCTACACCCAGTGAGTTGTTTTAGTGTTTAGGGTTTTGGCTTCGGGTTTGAGAGTTGCATAATCCTCTCAGGCTGGCAGCCGCAGTACCCAGCTGGGGGTTGCTGACCTCGTTTGGCCGAATTCGAGCCGAGGGCCCGAGCAGCTGGTGCCTGGGGCTTTCTGGGGCGGGGGGGGGGTTGGTGGTGGCTTCGTGGGGGGTTTACTGGAGGTATTCGTGGGGGATTAGTTGGGGTTGATGCAGAGCAGATGCGCGCGTGTACATTCATGTATATATGTACTTACTTATATACATACAAGCTTTCCCGCGCATGGATTCATACATTCATGCATGCAGACGCAGACATCTTGTCTTTGAGCAGGTAGAGGTTGGCATTGGGGTTTTGGGGGTGGCTGGACAAACAGTCGTTTTGCTTTTGAGAGCCGGCCGGTGTTCGCGGGCACCCCGGGGCCCTGAACCATGTTACCACTTTGGGCAGAGGGTTCCGGTAAGCCAGTCTTGGTTTTCAAAGGTTTAGGGTTTCGGGTAACCCCTAAACCCCTGAACCCCTAAAACCCCACCCCTAAACCCCTAAACCCCTAACCCTAAACCCCTAAACCCCTAAACCCCTAAACCCTAACCCCTAAACCCCTAAAACCCTAAACCCCTAAACCCCTAAACCCCTAAAACCCTAAACCCCTAAACCCCTAAACCCCTAAACCCCTAAACCCCTAAACCCCTAAACCCCTAAACCCCTAAACCCCTAAACCCCTAAACCCCTAAAAAAAAAACCCTAAACCCTAAACCGTTTAGGGTTTAGGGTGTCGGAGTTTCGGGTTATTTGTAGACTTAGTGTGTCAGGCCCTTAGGTTTGTAGCATGTTAAGAGCAGCTTCCGAGGTGCTCATCGGGCGGGCCGTTTCGTGGCGGCCAGGTGGGGCTCTTGCCACGACCTGGTCGGTTCCCCTTTTTTCCATGGGGTTTAGGGTTTAAGGTTTGGGGTTTAGGGTTTAGGGTTTGGGTTAAAAAGGGCTTAGGGTTTAGGGGAGCACCTGCAAAAGAGCCCTGGTAACACTCCCATGTTGGGTTGGGTGCAGGGACATGGAGAGAGCTTTATGTGGCGAACATGGGTCCAGGTGCGACGGAGAAGTCGGTCCGTGTCGGTTGAGCCCGGGAAAGTGGGCTGGGTTTCAGGGTCCCCGGACTCCTTGAAAGCCGTCTTCTTTATTCTTCTTCCAAGGGTTTAGGGTTTAGGGTTTCGGGTTTAGGGTTTACAGTAGGGTTTAGGGTACAGGTGAACTGCGGTGCCGTGCTCACGCAGACGTTGATGGACAGCATCCTCGACCAGCTCGGGGTCAGCGACGCGCTCTGCCTGCACGGATCGGGGCCAAGGGGGGTCTAAAGTCCGACAAAGCTCGATCTAAGCCCCTCGCCCCGGAATCCCAAAGGGTTTTTAGGGTTTCGGGTTTAGGGTTTCGGGTTTCGGGTTTAGGGTTTCGGGTTTAGGGTTTAGGGTTTCGGGTTTAGGGAACCCTTAGCCCCTAAGCCATGAGCCCCAAACCTATCACTATGGGCCCTCAAAAGCGCTCCCAGGCCAAGTTCCAGATTCGAGGGGACGTCGGCTGGGAAGCCGCGCTGTACGCGCTGCGTGGTCTGGAGCTCCTCGGGCGTGAGTTTCAGAGGTGCACTGGGGTTTAGGGTTTAGGGTTTAGGGCTTAGGGTTTAGGGTTTAGGGTTTAGCGTTAAGGGTTTAGGGCATAGGGTTTAGGGTTTAGGGTTTGGGGGTTCGCTTGTTTTGGAACTGCACAGCCCTGGTTGTAATTTCCTTCGGGAGAGTTTGTTGCGAGAGAAGCTGTGCCTTAGATCTACAGACTCAGGAAGCTCTACTTTGAACCGCCAGGGTTGTACGCTGGGCTTTGGGGATCCTTCGGGACAAGCCTTTGTGTTCCCAAAAGCGTGAGCACATGTTCACTGACTAAACGTGTTCACCAAATTGGTGATCTTGCAGCCGGCTCTGTGCCCCAAGCCCTACTTGGAGGTTCGGGGGTTACAAGTAGGGCGATAAGTACCCTAGACAGGTTTATAACCACAGATACCCTACCTAGATCCCTACTTACAGGGGCCCATGAACCTCCAAGAGGCTCTCTTTAGTCACCCCAAGCCTTCAGCTGGAGCCTTCAGCCTTTCAGCCACAACGCTCGCCTTCGCTGCGCTCCTATGTGTCGGTGGCGGGGTGGAGCAGGAGATCATCTGATGACCTCCAACCTAAACGCCGCAAGCCTGTCAAGCCTGTTCCCCTCTATCCCTGAAGCAAAGCGCATCCCGAAATGCAGTGATCTAAGGTCCGGTGTGTGCTTCAAGACGTAGCCCGCTCTCGCCAGGGCACCCTCCAAAGGAACAAGTGCCGTACGGTGACCATCAGTGCATCGGAGAAAAAGCTGCAAAGCGCTTGCCAGAGCTTAAAGAAACCCTAGACAATGTGCAGAAGGGGTCGATGCCTGTCGTCTGAGCCGCACCACGCCTCCTCTTCACCACTACTATACATTTGATGTCATGTGCGTTTTTTGGACCCATCTGCCATTGTTGTCGCTGCTGTTGCCGTGGTGGTCCTTGTTGCGGCGAGGAAGGCCGTTCTCAGCTGAAAGTTCTGCAGGGCGCCTGCTAAGCCGTCGCCAAGTTTTGTCCCCAATCAGACAATTATGCCTACAGTCTTCCCATATTTTGGTAGCTTAACCCAAGGTCCTTAACAGAAACAGGGGTATTGGGTTCCCGAAGCCCTAAAACCCTACAAACCCCTACAAACCCCAAATAGCCCCCTAAACCTTGTCTGCCTGGCGGGTGGCAAAAAACCCTAAACCTTAAACCCTAAACTTTAAATCCCTACAAACCCTAAATAGCCCTTAAACCCTAAACCCTAAGCCCTAAACCCTAAACCCTAAACCCTAAACCCTAAACCCTAAACCCTAAAAAAGGCCCGCGGCTTTTGGCAGGCCTGGGGCTTCCTCTTGGAGGGCCTCCAGACGCGGCTGCGCCACGGCGCCCGGGGGCCAGCGCTGGAGGTGCCTGCCCCAGAAGAGGGTTTGCTTTTTAGGGTTTAGGGTTTAGGGTTTAGGGTTTAGGCGTGATGTGACTTCTGAGAAGTTGCATGTTTTCCGGCAGCCTCCAAAGTCCGTTGCTCAAAAGGGGTTTAGGTATAGGGTTTACTACACTACTACGTTTGCCTAAGACAGAAAGTGTTCGAAGGCCTTTCCCAGCTGACTTCAGGAGTCTGGGTTCAAACAGGGTTTAAGGTCTAGGGGGTTTAGGGGGGTTTGGGTCTAGGGTTCCCTCTTTAGTAAAGTAGTTTAGGAGTTTAGGGTTTAGGGTTTCGGATGTGGCTTTGAAATTAAATGTGTGGTGGTCAGAGTGCCACTGTAAGTGCGGTGGTCGCGTATGGCTGTGATCCAGAGAGAGCATTGCAGTTGTTCAGGCCTGACATTCCCTGAGCGCCTGTGAGAGAGGGAGAGAGTTTAGGAGTTTCGGGTTGAGGGTTTAGAGTTTAGGGTTTTTGGTTCAGGGGATGTAAAGCACTTTTATTGTTTTTTCGGATTTTGGGGCGGTTTGAAGCCCGTTACGAAACGGTGTTCGGGCTTCGGGCCTTCAGGGGTTTAGGGGTCAGGGATTTAGGGTTCCAGGGTCAAACCTTAAACCCTAAACTTTAAACCCTACAAACCCTAAATAGCCCTTAAACCCTAAACCCTAAACCTAAACCCTAAGCCCCAAACCCTAAACCCTAAACCCTAAACCCTAAACCCTCAGGGTTTGGGGACTTCAGGGTTTTGGGGTGTGGGGGTTGAGGTTCCAGGGCATGGCGTTGGGCTTTCTAGCGCTTGGAAAAGTTTACGCCAAGCAGCAGAAGCCCGAAATCCTACACAGCTTTAAACCCTAAACCCGAAACACTAAACCTGAAACCCTACACCCTAAACCCTAAACCCTAAACCCGAAAGCCTGCGCGTGCGCGAGTGTGAGAGTCGATTCCCTAAACCCTAAACATTTGAACCCTAAGCTGCAAGGCTGTGCGGCGCGACCTCGGGAGTTTGGACGAGGCTCTCCCCCCTTCTCCTTGGTAGGATTCTCGTAAAAAGGGACCTTATTCAGAGGGTCTATATCCCCAAGGGTCCCCTAATCCTATTCCCCCCCTTCTTTTTTCAGGTTTAGGGTTTCAGGGGCAAACGGGGTCTTGGGGGCAAAAGTTGTCAGCTTGAGTTGATTCCAGTGCCGGTTCTGAAGAAAGGCTCGAGATCTCGAGCCTTCTGTGACGGCATCGCGGCCCCTATGCTGGTCTTCAAGAAAACGTGACCCCCATCTCTTACTCATTCTCTTCGGAATGTTGGGGAATCACCCTATGTGGGTAGTCCTCTACATTCGGGTCCTTTTTGGGTCCAACATCTTCGACGGCACCCGTAAAAGAAGGACACCAATTAAGGGACCCTAATCTAGAGAACTACCCATATATATATATATATATATATATGAGGCAGGAACCTTTATGTATGATTTGACCTCTTTCTTTGTTTTCATACTAGCCTATACTACTGCTACGATTAACAGAGTTATCGAATAGGGCCATCACGCTCCTCTGAAGACTGCTTCAAAACCCCAACACTAAACCCTAACCCTAAACCCTAAGCCCGAAAAACAAGAAATATAATAAAACAAGAGCCTACCTACCTCCCTAGAGGCGAAACAGAGAGACTACACCGTGTGTTTCTTTCGCACTGAACCCCAAAGACCTACCCCTAAGCTCTAGGGGAGAGGACGCCGTGGGAACCTATTCTTGGGATAGGTTGTCTTTTAAAAAGATTATGAAACATTCGGACACGGTATCACGAGAATACTGTGAGCAGATACTTCATTTTTTGAATTCATGCCCGTGCATGCGAGTTCATGCCCTTCATGCCCCGTGCACGCGAACGCCCCGCAAAACGGAATAACAACGATATACCCTCCAACTAACCTATTGTTGGGACAGGTGCTCGAACGAAAATTACTGTGAAACATTCTTGTTGTTAAATACACGGTGAATCTGAAAGGTCTGGGGTTCATGGTTGAACAATAAACCCTATAAGGCTTCAAGGTGTGGGGACTACAAACCTGAAACCCTATAGGGACCCGCCCCTTGTGGAGCATTTAGGGTTTCACGTGTAGGGTTTACGGTGAAGTGTCTAGGGTTTTCTTTTCAAGCTCATCTATGCGACTCGAACGATTTCTGATGGGAGAGCGGGCGTGCAGCTTCGCACAATGGCACACTGTGGGTCGAAATGCAACGGCAGCAAAGAGGCCGCAAGCAAAAGGCAAGGCAACACGTTTCGGACAGGCAGGAGCAGTGTCAGAGACCAAATGGTTGGGTTGCAGGCCAGCCACTTGAATAGCCCAGCCAAAATGACTTAGTAGAGGGGCCCCGACTAAAGCAGGTAGACCATTAACTTTCAGCCTTTCGCAAAATCGCCACGTTCGTTGCAAGAAGGGACCTCCTCCCCTGCAGCGGCTGAGTTCCCTTATACCATCTCTTTTGTTTTCTTTCTGTCCCTTGTTCCTATGTCTCCAATTTTGTCGATTGTAGGTATTCAAGGGAAGTGCTAAGCTACTAAAGAGGACAAATAAGGTTTCCCTGTCCCCTTTGGCTGTCCTGAATTAATCTTGTCTTTTCTCAGTCTGCACTCTGCGAGAGAGGAATGGACAGTAGAAGGGAAACAACAACGCATGGGCAAGAATGCTTCTCTCTCTTTTCTTATTGGGATGACTGGGCACATAAGACTGAGAAGAGACTCCCCTCCTGTCTGAATCTCTGCTTTGGCTCTTATCTTGCAGAGGAGAAGAACTTTTATATAAGAAGAGGAACCAGGAACAGACACCAGAGAGAAAGTGCAAGGAGCTGACAAGAGTGCTTCTCTCTTCTCTTTTTGACAAAAACCGAGGGAAAGAGCGTGAAAACAAGAAGCTTTGTTTTGTCCGTTGCAGAAAGGGGGTTGATTTCCCGTGTTCGCTCCCGTTTGCCTTCTTTCTCTCCTGCGCTCCTATGTCTTCTGTTCCTTTTTTTGAGGAGATTCAAAGGGATAGATAAACGAAAAAACCCCTGCGCTGTCCTTGATCTTGTCTTTTCTCAGTCAGCGAGAGAGGAAGACACAGTAGGAGGGAAGCTGGACAAGAGTGCTCCTCTCTCTCTTTTCTTATTGAGAAGACTGGGTACATAAGACTGGGAAGAGACTCCCCCTCCTCTCCGATTCTCCGCTCTGGCTGTTTTCTTGCAGGGGAGAAGAACTTTTATACAAGAAGAAGGGGCCAGGAACAGACAAGAGAAAGAAAAGTGCATGGAACTGACAAGAGTGCTAAGAGAAAGGGAAGAAAGCTTTGTTTTGTCCGTTGCAGAAGGAGGCTCCCTCTTCCCTGGAGCAGGGTTGATTTCCCGTGTTCGCTCTCATTTGCCTGCGATCCTATGTCTTCTGTTCCTTTTTTAGGGATAGATTGGTTTCCCTGTCCCTTTGATGTCCTTGATCTTGTCTTTTCTCAGTCAGCCAGAGAGGAAGGCACAGTACTGGACAAGAGTGCATCTCTCTCTGTTTTCTTGAGAAACAACGGATAAATAAGCGGAAAAGAAGAAACTCCCTCTCCTCTCCTCTAGATCTGTTCAGCTCTGATCCTGGGAAGTAAAAACATGAACACGCAAGGAAACATCTCATCCTTCTCTCTTCTCTCTTCTCTCTTCTCTCTTCTCTCTTCTCTCTTCTCTCTTCTCTCTTCTCTCTCCTCTCCTCGCTCCTCGCTCCTCGCTCCTCTCTCCTCTCCCCTCTCCGCTCTCTCTCCCTAGAGCAGGCTTGAGTCCAATTATTCTCCCACTGCTGCCTTCTTTCTCGTGCTCCGACGTCATGTGTTCCGTCTTCTCTTCGAGCAGATTGAAGGGAATAGGTCGACAAAAGGTTTTCACACTCCCTCTCACTTCTTCAGCCTCTTCTTTGCCGTGTTCTTACAACGGAGAAGAGTAAAACGTAAGAAGATGAGGAGTCAATCTCACTACCTTCATGCCTTGTCGTCTTTCTTCTGTTCACTTTTGCTCTTACACACGCGAAAATTGAAATGCAAGAAGATAAACTGACGAGAAGGCAGGGAAGGAGACAGTCTTTGGCTCGCTGCCAAAATGAGAGAGCGACGCAACAAGGACATGACAAGAGTGCTTCGCTGTTCTCTTTTTGTGAGGATCGGGCAAACAACAGGGGGAAGAAATTCCTTCTCCCTCTTCTCCCTGTTCTTTGGCTCTCTCCTTACACAAAGACAAATAAAAACACAAGGCAACAAATTTCAGTCACTACGTTCATCCGTCCTCGGGTTTC